AGTATGCTCACGAGTACAGTGCCTTCCTATGGAGACCAGAAGATGGCATTTGATCCCCTGTGCCTGAAGTTATAGGCATTTGTGAGCTGCCTGACATGAGTGCTGGGAAGCAAACTCAGGTCCTCTGCAAGACTAGTATATGCTCTTAACTGCTGAACTATCCTTCCAGACATCTCACACATAATTTTTAAAATAAAATAAATCTTTAATAAAAAGCAAAAAGAAAGAGAAAAGAAATACTTCTGTTTTGTGAAACAAGTTAGCTATGCAATCCAGGCTGTCCTGGAGCTGGAGTCATCTCTAGGCTCCAAAGGTGTGGAAAAGAAACACCTTTTATGTAAACGGTGTTTTTAAAATAAGTACAGACACTATAGTGTGATTATCTAGATAAAAGTATACTCTTAAGAGGTAGTTTATTTCCGTATCTAAAACTGAAAGGTGCTTTCTTAGAAGCTTAATTTCTTCTTTTTAAAAAGACCTGATTATAAAGGCTGTGAGTTTAGTTCAGTGGTAGAACATACCTTAGCACTCAGCAAAGCTCTGGGTTTGCTCTCCAGTGTATCCATACACAAGATCAGTCTGCTTCTTATCTTACAAATTCTTCCTAAACTATATGGTTCCAGCATTGTGTACCTAGTACACTAGGTATCTTGTGCTATATAACAAATCATTCCAAACAATAATAATTTATTTCACAATATCTTTGGGTCAGGAATCTGGGTGACAGCCTCACTCAAGGTCTTAGGAGGCTGAAGACATGGTGCCCACAAGAACCGCCACTTCAGGTGAAAGTATAACTATGGAGAATTGGTAGCTATTGCCACATTTAGCTGATGGCAGGACTCAGTTTCTCTTGAGGTGTGGTACTAAAGCCCTGAGTTAACTGATGACTGTTGGCTGCATGCCTCCTGCCATAGGAAACTCTCTGTGAGGAGCTTCACAACATGGGAGCTAGCAGTCTTCAGAGTGAGCAGTAGAGAGCACAATAAAACTACAGTATTTTGTGTTCTAATCATACACGTGAAATCTCCTTACTCCATTATATTGAAGCAAATCAGGCAGGGGTGGTGGAACCTACCTATAATCCCAGCACTGGAGAGACTGAGGCAGGAAAATAATCATTTCAAGGCTAGCCTGGGCTACAAATATAACCCTGTCTAAAAGAACACTGAAAAAAACAAACAAGATAATGAGTCAGTAAATACATCCTATATGGGAGAATATATTTTAAAAAAGTATAAGTATAAAGAGAGTCTTGCCATTAATCACCAAGCTTTATTGTGGTGATATTTTGTTTATGCTCTAATAAAGCTTGCCAGAAGATCAGAATGCAACGTTAGCCACAGCCATAGGCCAACCTGGTCTACAGAATGAGTTCCAGGACAGCCAGAGCTATACACAGAAACTCTGTCTCAAAAAAAAAAAAAAACAAAAACAAAAAGAACTTGCTAGTAGTTGCCTGCTTTGTTTTTCTGATCTTCAGGTAAGTCTTATTAGATTATAAACAAAATATCACCACACATATCATTTAAAGCTGTCTCATATAATGTTCCACAGACCAACTAAAAAGTAACATGGTAGCTAAGGAAAGCATACCCAGTCTTTCATCAAAATAAACATGGAACACAAATGAAATACAGAATTCAAGCAGACCACTCATACTCTTGCATTATCCAAATAAATACCGCATATAATTTGCTCACAAATTAATTTTTCAGTTAAATGTAACATCAAAACTTCAACCTAACCAGGTTCCATGGTACTTGTATGAATATCATAAATTTGAGGCAACCTGGACTAAATAGAAACATTTCAAAGATGAAACTGTTAAATACTTGAGACCCAGAGTTCATTCCCCAGTACAAATAAAACAATATGTACAATTTAAAAATTACATATTTGTTAATGGGCAGTGGTGGCATGTGCATGCCTTTAATCCCAGCACTTGGGAGGCAGAGACAGGCGAATCTATGTGAGTTTGAGGCCAGCCTGATCTACAGAGCAAGTGCCAGGACAGCCTCCAAAGCAATTCAGAGAAACCCTGTCTTAAAAAAAAAAAAAATACATGTGCTATTTCATAAAGGGATTATTTTAGCATATTGAAGTTCTTCTGTATAAGTAAAATAAAGTCATTGCTGGTATAACTGTCTTAAAGATTAGAATTCTTTTGCTTTTAGAGTTGCAAAGTTTAAGATAATGTTTGGTATAGTCTTTATAAGTGTATTTCAAAGAGACAGTAAAGGTTATAGTAAAATAGTTTTGTTAACTTGTTAGCTACTTGAGTAAGAAGCTAGTTTCATATCTTACTCTTTCTATCAAAATAAATTCCATTTAAAATGAAAGATTTAGAAGCCGGGCGTTGGTGGCACACGCCTTTAATCCCAGCACTCGGGAGGCAGAGGCAGGCGGATCTCTGTGAGTTCGAGGCCAGCCTGGTCTACAGAGTGAGTTCCAGGACAGCCTCCAAAGCCACAGAGAAACCTTGTCTCGAAAAACCAAAAAAAAAAAAAAAAGAAAAAAAAAAGAAAGATTTAGCCAGGCAGTGGTGGTGCATGCCTTTAATCCCAGTACTTGGGAGGCAGAGGCAGGCAGATCTCTGTGAGTTCAAAGCCAGCCTGGCCTACTGAGTGAGTTCCAGGGCAGGCTCCAAAGCTACAGAGAAACCCTGCCTCAAAAAACCAAAACAATAAAATGAAAGATTTGAACATTTAAAAGGAGGCATGCAAAGGTTAAAGAAAGCATATGTATTTATCTGTAAACTCTAAAGAGGTAGAGATCTTTCTGAATATAGCATCCAATCCAGAATATACATAGCTATTTCCATTCTGGAAAGAACAACAGCAACAAACTGTCATAAAGTGTAAAAAAAGAAAAAACCCTATAGGAAAAAAATCCTTACTAAATATATCACAGGGATTGTGCTAATTCCTCTCATTCTGAAAGAGCTTTTAGGGTCAGTGAGAGGACTTAAGTGAGTGAAGGAAGCACCTGCCATCAAACCTGACCACCTAAGTTCAGTCCCTAAGACCTACATGATGGGAGGAGACATCTGAATCCTACCCCTTGTTCTCTGACTTGCACATCTGTGTGCATGCACACACACACACACACACACACACACACATATGCACTAAATAAATACATAAATAGAAATGTGTTAAAATGTAAAAGCTTTTATTACTCAATAAAATGATAATAAATACACTGATAATTTAAAGAAAAAGGTATTTTCAGTTAATTTCACAGGCAATATGTAGACTGTTGTTCAATGGTAGAGCACATATGCTTAATGCATGTTCAAAGCCCTAGGTTCAATACACAAGAACTCCATAATCTTTATATAAAAATAATATATATCATGTATGGCGCCACATGTCTTTATCCCTAGCTCTTGGGAGGCAGAAGCATGTGTATCTCTGTGAGTTCCAGGCCATTCGAGGCTACATAATGAGACATATAAAACATAAAAAACAAAAGAACAAGAACAATGGCTGCGCTTCCAGGGAATCCAATTCAAGTGTACCCACCTGTAGACAGTTCACAACTGTCTGTAACTCCAGTCCCAGAGGATTTGATGACCTCTTCTGGCCTCTGAGGTACACACATGATGCACAGATATACATGCAGGCAAAACATTCATACACATAAATTTTTAAGAAACGTGTGTGTGTTTGTACGTACAGAGAGAAAGTGATAGATACATATAAAATTGTGTTCCACATTTTTAAAGATGCCACATATATTGAAAAGGTATGTGTGCATTAAAAAATGATAGCAGTGATTAGGGTGCTATCCATCAACTTCTGCCTCCCAAGAGCTAAAAAAGAGTGGTATACATTGATAGAAATAAAAGATATTTTTTTTTTGGTTTTTCGAGACAGAGTTTCTCTGTATTGTTTTCGAGGCTGTCGGTCCAGCCTGGCCTCGAACTCACAGAGATCCGCCTGCCTCTGCCTCCCGAGTGCTGGGATTAAAGGCGTGCGCCACCACTGCCCGGCACAAAATAAAAGATTTTTATATGTTGATAGCATCTGTGGTATTTGAGATCATTGGAGGAGAAGTAGTTAAATTATAGCAACTGAAGTTGGCACATTCTTTGGGATCTCTAAGGTCACAGGAAGATGCTCAAATACATTGTAAAGTGGAAAATAAAAAAGAAAATTCAAATCAAGCTTGATGGCATAGGCCTGTAAATCTAGTTGTTCAAGAGGCTGAGGCAGGAGGACCTCTAGTTCAAGACCAACCTGGTTACAGAGCAAGGTCAAGCCAAACTGGGCAACTTAGTGAGACTTTGTCTCAAAGACTAAAAGAAGTGGGGCTGGAGAGATAGCTCAGTGGTTAAGAGCACTTCCTGCTCTTGCAGAGGACCTGTGTCTGACTCCTGGCACTCACATGGCAGCTCACAACCCTCTGTAACCAGTTGCAGGGACACCAATACCCTCTTCTTGACTCCAGGCACACTTAACATAAACAGACATGCATGCAGGAGAAACGTGTATGTATGTATGTATGTATGTATGTTTAAAAAGGGCTGGAGATAAAGTTCTACATGCTTGCTTGCCACAAATAGGGCCCTGGATTCAGTCCTTAGTGCCACAAAAAGGAAGAAAGGGAAAGGAAAGGGACAGTTCATGAGCATTATATGTATACCTTGAAAACTATATAAGGCAAGCCGGGCATTGGTGGCTCACGCCTTTAATTCCAGCTCTTGGGAGGCAGAGGCAGACGGATCTCTGTGAATTCGAGGCCAGGCTGGACTGACAGCCTCCAAAACAATACAGAGAAACCCTGTCTCGAAAAAAGAAACAACAAAAAAGAAAAAAAAAGAAAAAAGAAAACTATATAAGGTGAATAGTTAACTTTAACTTTCTCTAGGTAGAACTAAGGAGTTGAACATTATAAGCAACCTGTTGCTGCAATGTTTAAAAATTTATGTTTAAAAAATATTTTATAAGCAGAAAGAGTATATTTTAAAGGCAATTTATAATTTCTTTTTACAGGCGACTACATGCTTGAGGCAAAGCCAAAAGAAATTTCAGAAATTCAACGTGTAAATTATGAACAGGTATAAACATGATTTTATATTAAAATATATTATTTTGCATTATGAATATACACAATAATCATTGTGGTTTGAAACTTTTTCTTTACAGTACTGGATAGTAAATGCTTTAGACTTTGCCAGCTACATAAGTTCAAGTCCATTGCTTATTCTTTCTTTTTTTTTTAAACTACCCTTTAAAAATATAAAAAAAAAAAAGCTCAGAGCCATATTTGGTTCAGAGCCATAATTTTTGGATTCCTGTTTTCTATGAATGTATGTATTAATTATGCATTGATACCATCTTATAAATCTGTACAGGGTAATTTGGCATTTTTCTTGAAAAAATTGACTCTGAAGTAAATTTGTCATTGATTTATCTTTTCTTGTTTCACTTAAGTTACTATCATTTTTCCAGTGCTGAGAATTGAATTCAATACCGTGTACGTGCCAGGTAAACACTCAGGCAGTCCTCAAGTTATGTTTAAGATAAAGTTGAGTAAGTGCTGGCTGAGATGTCAGGACACATTGTGCAATTGTATAATTTCAACACACCCACATTTTTTGGTATGTTCTTTAGAGACCCTGTTCTGTAATGAAGGCACAGAAGGTTCAAAATTACCAAAGCTGGGCGTAAATAAGCAAGCCTCATTTTCTTCAGTTTTCTTTGTATTTATCAATAGAGGGAAGGAAAAAGAAATTAGCACTTTTGTGAAAGGAAGGGTCACCTGGGGAGGAAATGAACATCTCTGGAGATTCTTTCTCACTGTCCAAGTAACCTTTAAAATATGTCGTAAGTTGGGCACGGGGAAGCCTGACCTGCATAGATTTCCATGCTAATCAGGGCTACACAGTGAGACCATCTCTCAAAAAACAAGACAACCATCAGGAGCAAATTCACAACAGGAAACAAAGTTCATGGGTTTTTTTTTCAGAGTTTATCTTTCCTTCTTTCCCTCTCTTTCTTTCATTCATTTATTGATTGATTGACTGACTGGCTGGCTGACTGGCTGACTGACTGACTGAGACAGGGTCTCACTGTGTCGACTCAGCTGGCCTGCAGCTCACAATGTAGACCAGGTTAGCCTGGAATTCACATATAAACATCTTCCTCTACCTACAAGTGCTGGGATTAATTTATGGAGCTTCTTGAATTTGAATGTTCATATAATCCTATCCTAATACAGTTGAAAAACCAACATCTTGCTGTAGGGGTGAGCCTACTACATCTTGCATTATAAGCAAATAACTGCAGTCAACTTTTTAGGCTGATTTTTTTTCATCCAACAAGAAGCCATAACTTTATTAGTGATAGAAACAGTACAAATTTCAAACCAAGCTGTAGTAGGCTGATTTAAATTTTATTAAAGAAAACTGAAGTATAGCTCAGAAGGACCTATGTTTACTACTCAGTAACTTTCCCAAAAATTACTAGGAGAATTTGTAGTTTAGAGCAGTGATTTTCAAACAATTTTTTAGCAGTAGAAACCTCTTTTTCAATGAAATCTTAGCATCAGCTTCTAGTATATAAAATCAGTAAGTGATGTTTCTGACTTTTTTTAAAGCTAACATACAAAGTAATGTGTTTCACTGTAGAATTTTCATGCATGCTTTGTTCTTATGTTACCCCTCTCCTGCCCCTCCTCTTTTCTGGTCCCTTTTTTCTCCCCTTCAGCCCTTCCTACTTTCACTTAATACGAACTCTATTACTGTCATTTTTTTCTTTCTTTTCCCCTCACCTTTAGATTTCATCTTCACCTTTCAGAGTTCCCTTTCTAATTTCATGACATGTTCACACAAGACCAGAAAATAATAGTTTATAAGATGGTCATGGTAAGGTTCCATTTATATCACATATAAGTTCATATAATGTCTTACTGAACTCAATGAGGCATTGTTGAATAACATCAAAACTCCATTTCAGAATAGTGGTTGGTCATCCTAGTGTCATTTTACTTCTGTTAATGAGTCCTAAGGATCCATCTGACAAGTGTTTGCAAGTGACAGCAGCATGTTTGTTCTTTTCAAACCACCACACAATCTGTGGATGCATTTCCATTATAGTGGCTTGGACTCCTGAATAGTGGAAAGTCTGTTTTACTTTGAGACAAAGGATATGTAAGTACTTAAGGCAATCATTCCTGGTGCCACAGAGATGATTCAGTGCATAAAGGAATTCAATTCCTGGAACCCACTTGGTGAAAGGAAACAACAGATTCACCCAGGTTTTCTCTGACCTCCACATGCATGCTGTGACACCTCCTCTCCCAACCACAGTAACCATTTTTTCAGACTACCCTGTACTTAAAATAAATACGGAAAGTATTGGTGAAGTTATTCTGTACTGCAATTCACTTTAAGAATAGTGTGAACAAGCTACATGCTGAGTCTGAGCACCTGTTTAAAACCCACAGGTACCAGACACCTCTTTTTTTGTTTGCTTGTTTGTTTTGTTTGTTTTTCGAGACACAAATGTGTTTGTATTGCTTTGGGGCCTGTCCTGGAACTCTCTCTATAGACCAGGCTGGCTTCAAACTCACAAAGATCCATCTGCCTCTATCTCCCCAGTGCTGGGATTAAAGGCACAGGAACCTCTTTTTAATGAGACTTCATATGAACTGACATGGTCAGACCAACATTTGGAAAGACCAACACAGAGCTTTGATATTCATGTGAAGCCTCTGCCAAAAGCCAATGCGTTGACAATGCGCACTTTCTAGCTTTGCAAAATAGACAAGGGTAAGACAACACAGTGTGTTTTCATTTTTTTAATTTCACTTATTTATTTTTGCAGTTGTAGGGTATTAGATAGGTCAGGACTCTATCACTAAGCTGCACTTTCAGCCTGACAAGTTTTTAAATGATCACAAATGTGTTTATAAAACATACTTATGTTTAAGTTGGCTGTGACAGCACATCATTGTAATCTAAGTGATCAGTAGGCAGATGGTGGAAGACGGAAAGTTCATGGCCTGGCCTACACAGACAGCATGACTGCCTGAAATAAACAAACATATGTTTTGCATTTAAATTACTTCATTATGCTAGAAGTACCTTTGAGAGAAGTTCTAAAACAGTTTTGCCATCACCTTTAAGGACCCAATAGTAGCCTCTTCTTAGGGTATCAGCAGTCATCCATCCCTCACTCCTGTATTTTATACCATAATTATCAATTTGGAATTAGGAAGAAGTTGTCCAAATATTTTCTCTCTTTAACCTTTGTTTATAAATTTACCTATATTATCAGTTTTATTAATTTTGATGGTTATTGAATGGTAGGAAATTATTTACTGTTTTTTGAGACTTGATCTTACTATGGAGCCCATCCTGGCCTTGAATTTTCTGTCCTCTGCTAGAATTGCAGTATGTATTGGTTTTTATTTGTTCTATGAGATATATCCTGTTTATGCTTATATTTAGTGATAAAATAATAAAAATGGGCTTTAAAATAATCTTCATTAAATTATTTGACATTTATTTTTAATCAATTAATGCATTCATCTACATGCATTTGCTGCCAGAGTTTGCATGTGAAATTCAAGAAGACAACTTTGCAGGAATCAGTTGTCTCTTTCTACTGTGGGTTCCATCAATGAAATTGATCATCAGATTTGTTCAGGAAGCACCTTTACTCACTCCTTGATCTGAGAGTTATATTTTGTGATCTGTTTTCTGCCTATCAGACTTGACCTACAATTCCCTTCATTTGTTTAGATCTACCCTTATAGGATTCCTTGCTGTCCACAAGTATTGTAATATGCTCATTTTTGTATCAGTTTTTTGTTAGTATTTTTATTTTTGTTACTGTTGTTTGATTTTTGTTTGTTTGCTTGCTTGTTTTTCAAGACATGCTTGGTTTCTCTGTGTAGTCCTGGCTATTTGGAACTCACTCAGAGACCCACCTGCCTGTGCCTTCCAAATGCACTACCTGGCCAGAACTTAGTTTCAAAGAGGCCTTTCTTTCTCCATCTTCTTCCCTTCCTCCCTGCAGTCCTCCTTTTTTTTTCATGTTCAATATATTCAGTGCAAAATCAAGTACAGGAAAAGAAACTGTTTCTATATGCCTCCCTCTCCTCTTCAACCTGTACATACAGCTTCTCCATTATTATCTTCCCACACCAAGGTAGTATGTTTGTTAGACCACATACAGGGAAGGACTCATCTAGAGAAATAAGAGTGGCCTTCTAAACGTCTTTACCTAATAGTCACAAGGATGATGGCCTCTTAAAAGGACTATAGATAGCCATTGGTAATTTGGGCTTTGGATCTGAAACATTCCAGCTGTTTACAAGTTCTAGTCAATCAGTCAGCTTTAAAGAATCTCTAACATGTGGTGGATTTTTTTTCTGAGAACTTCACCTAAAGTCCATAGGTTGCAGTAGGTTTCACCTTTGGTGTTATATATTCAGTGAATTTTGACAAGTGTGTAATGGAATGTATCCACCAGCATAACACAGCACAGAAATGTCTCACTGTGTGCTTCTAGGTACTCCTCCCTCTCTGATTTGCTGACAACTTATCTTTTTAGAGTTTCCATAAGATCAGCCATTTCCAGAGTCAGACTCCACAAGTCTCGGTCTTCTCAGATCTGCTTCTGTTATTTAATGATGTGCAGTTAGGTTCCTCCATATCCTTTCATAGCCCAAGAGTTCATGTCTAGTTTTTAAGTTATAGTAAAATCATATAACATTACATTCATAGGCCATCATTTTAAACTGTACAGTTTTTTTGTTTTGTTTTGTTTCTTGTATGTTTGTATTTTGAAACAAGTTTCTCTATGTAACAGTCATGGCTGTCCTGGAGTTCACTTTGTAGACTAGGCTGGCCTTGAACTCACTAAGGCCTGCCTGCCTCTGCCTTCTGAGTGCTGGCATTAAAGGCATATGCCACCATGTCCAGCTTAAACTGTACAGTGAGAGAGCTCTACAACTGTTTCATCTTGTGAGACTGAACTCTATACCCACCAAGCAATAACCTCACACTTTTTACTCCTACTGTCCCAGGAGCCCTCCATTCTACTTTGTGTTCTGGTCATTGTGGTCGCTTTAAGATTATAGAACAGAGTCACAAAGCATCTGCTCTTTGGAGAGCTTATTTTGTTCTTGAAGGATTATCTGTGCTATAGCATGTGACAGGAGTTCCTTCTTGTGCCACTGATAATACTGTTGTGGGCATTTGCACTACTGCCTCTTCACTGGGTCCTGAAGTGGCAGAGTTCTTAAACGTCAGACTTTTCCTTTAGACTTTCTAGTCTAAAAATAGACTTCCTGCCACTCTTCACTACCTCATCCTGCTCACTTTTATTTGTTAATGCTTGGCATCATATTGTACATTTGCATGACTTTCTTTTGTAGCACTATGCTAATCACATGACAGCAGAAAGCCTGTTATATTCACTGTTGTATTGATGGAACTCAGTTTAGTGCCTGGTACACAGGTATGTATGTAATGAAAGTCTATTAAGGAGCTGAAGATGTGGCTTGTCTAGCACGCACAAAACCCTGCATTTGATCCCTAGTGCTGCAGCAGTATAAGAAAAAAAAAAAAAGAATAAAATCATACAATGAAAATAAAAGTGTCAAAGAGGGGAATAACTTGGATAAAATAGAGATTTTTAACCTTTTTCTTTCTTTTTTAATTTTTTTTATTTTTTAGAAACAGTACAGGTCTTAGGCTATACTGTGCTGGCACACAACTTTAATCTCAGCACTTGGGAGGCAGAGGCAGGCAAGTAGATCTCTGTGAGTTCAAGGCTCATCTGGTCTACAGAGCAAGTTCTAGGACAGCTAAAGATAACACAGAGAAACCCTGTCTCAAAAAAAAAAAAAGAAAAGAAAAGAAAAGAAAGGAAGGAAGGAAGAGGAAGAGAACATGCCTAGGCTGGTCTGGAAATCTTGGATTCAAATGGGAACCCTACTGTGACTACAGGCTCATGTCACCTGTCACCACCACACACAACTTTTCTTGTTTTGCAGTTCTTATTCTTCTGAATTCTACTTCTCCCCTTTGTATTTTCAGAATATGAGTGATGCTATGGCGATATTGCACAAACTACAGACAGGCCTGGATGTGAATGTCAGGTTCACTGGGGTGCGAGTGTTTGAGTACACACCAGAGTGCATAGTCTTCGATCTTCTAGATATTCCTTTGTATCATGGGTGGTTAGTGGATCCTCAGGTAAGTAGAGTTTCAGCTATATAAATACAGGGGCCTTGAGAGATGGCTCAGTGGTTAAGAGCACTGGCTACTCTTGCGGATAGGTCACAACTGTCTGTGACTCCAGTTCCAGGGGATCTAATGCTCTCTTTTGACAGATGCAGACACCAGGAATGCCACTGATACACATATAAAAATAATAGTCAAATAACCACAATGCAGGAAAGTTCATCTCAACTGATATTTTTAATATGAATATGCTTGCTCTTTGATCTGGACTTAGCAAAACTGTGAGGGTACAAACACAGTCTTCCAGACCACCCAACCTGCTCAAGACTTCTGACCCTAACCACAGAGTCAAATGAAGAATCCCCTCACTTTTCACATCAATTGCAAGTTTAGAGGGTTTTCCAAAATATCCTAAGATTTAATGATTTTCTAGAACCCTTGTGGTGGTTTGAAAGAAAATAGTTCTCAAAGGGAGTGGCACTACTGGGCGGTATAGCTTTGTTGAAGTAGGTATGACCTTGTTGGAGGAAGTGTGTCACAGTGTAGGCAGGGGGTCTTTTGCTCAATGTCCCAGTTGACTTCCTGTTGCCCGCAAGATGTAGGACTCTCAGCTACTTTTCCAGCATCCATGCCTACCTCCATACTGCCACACTCTCCCCACTGTGATGATAATGGACTGAACCTTTAAAACTGTAAGCCATCACCTCAATTAAATGTTTTCCTTTATAAGAATTGCTGAGGTCATGGTGTCTTTTCACAGCAATAGAAAGCCTAACTAAGACAACCCTCTTGGGTGTACCATTGCAAACAAATAATTCAGCTTATTACTATAATGATGCACACAAGAGAAATCAGATGCAGGTTCATATTAACCAAGGGAAGATGCATAGGGTAGAATCTGTGTAGGCTTTATCTAGGAAACTCCTGTCCTCCGGCATGCTGCCCTCCTGGAATTGGCCTATGGCAGTATCCATAGAGTGTTGCCAGTCCTAGAATTCAGCCTCCACAGTTCAGATTTCTTATGATTGATTGCCAATGTGATTGATCTCATTCTCCAATCCTTCCTTTCCAGGAAGCTAGAGTTGGTGCCACATTGTTCAAGGGGGCCTCCATGACTCACTGTGCTTTAGTGTGAGCTGCAGGTGTGGCATGAAGGCTCTGTCATAAATAGCACCATTGGTCTTATTACTAGAGAAATCCCAAGAGCTTAGAGGTTATCACCCCAGGAGTCTGGAAAAGCCAGACCTCTTCTTGGTCAAGAGCATAGCATTAAATAGAGATTTTTTTGTTTGTTTGTTTTTTCGAGACAGGGTTTCTCTGTATTGTTTTGGATGCTATCCTGGCACTTGCTCTGTAGACCAGGCTGGCTTCGAACTCACAGAGATCCACCAGCCTCTGCCTCCCGAGTGCTGGGATTAAAGGCGTGTGCCACCAATGCCTGGCTTAAATAGAGATTTTTAATACTCTGACATTTATTTTAAAAGCCACTCCCATATCCTCATCACTCTAATGTGTGAAGGATTTTGCACATTGCTCTGTATCCAGTGATTGCCTGTATTTAATAATCTGCATTCTAGATTCACTCTAGTATAACCAAACAAAGTTTTAAGAAGAGCTTAGATAGAAAGATGTGGGCAAAGGTAAGGGAGTAGTGAAGCATCTTAGAGCTATCTGCATCCAGGAACCATTGTCCCCTTAACTCTGGAAAGACAGTAGTTAAAACCCAGCAACACTACTTGCTGAAGCTTGAGAGGACAGTCCACAAGGGAATACAATTACTTGCAAGTGTGGCTAGCAGCAGAGAAAGACAGGAAGACCTAGTCTGCCCCCCATTCTCTAATCAAGCTGACTGAAAGTAAAGAAGCCACCTTTATTTAGAATAGAGTGCAGAGGAGGTCTTGGGAGAAACAACTTTATTTGGTTGTTTTTTTTTTTCTGGAATAGGGTCTCACTATATAAACCAGGCTAGCTCCTGTCTTCCTGCCTTCCCAGTGCTAGGATTTCAGGCATATACCACTATGCCTGACTTTTTACATGAATGTTGAAGATTCTACTTAGGTCCACATCCTCAGATGGTAGTACTTTACTGGCTGAATCATCTAGCCCCGTGCCTGGATTTTTAAAGTTTGTATCTTTAACTATTAATGATGTTGAATGTATTTTCCCATGCTTGTTTGCTGTTAGTGTATCCTCTTCAGTAAAATCTCTCTTTTTCTCCTTCCCTTTTTTCCCCTCCAATTTTCTAATTGGTGTTTTTGGTTTTTTAAAATAGGATCTCTATATATAACCAGAGCTAGCATAGAATTTGTAATTTTCTTGCCTCTTAAGTGCCAGGTTGCTGGTGTATGCTACCACATCTGGCATCAAGGTTTTTTATTTTATTTCATTTTAATTTTTATGTGTGTCTGTGTATGTGTGTGCATACATGTACCACATGTGTGCAGGTCCTTGCAGAGGTCAGAAGAGGGTATATGGACTCCCTGGAGCTTGAGTTACAGGTGGTTGTTAACCATGATATAGGTGCTGGGAATCAAATCAGGTCCTCTGAAAGAACAGTGTGTATTCTTAACCACTGAGCCTTTGCTCCTGATCAAGTTTTGATTTAGTGAAACATAGGTTATTGATTTTTTTAAGTCCAAAAAAACTCTTTCTAGCTCTAAATCTTGACTGTTTTCTGTTGTGCTTTTTCTTTGCTAAATTTATTATGGTTTTATTTATTATGCTTAGTCTATGACCTATTTTGAGATAATTTTGTAAGATTTGAGTTGTTGGATATGAATATTCCCTTGCTCTGGCACATTTCATGTGTAACTGTCACCTAAATCAATTTTTGAATAATTTTATCATCTTGTAAAGAAATTCAGCTGGTCAGTGGAAGCACACACCTTTAATCCTAGCACTTGAGAGGTAGAGGCAGGAGGATCTCTGGGTTTGAAGCCAGTCTGGTCTATAGAGCTAGTTCCATGACAGGCAAGGCTACACAGAGAAATCCTGTCTTGAAAAACCGAGACGGGGGAGGGAGGGAGGGACGGAGGGAGGGAGAGATAAAATATAATTACAAAGAAATATTGTAAGGAAAAAGAAATGCCTCAAAGTTTATAAAAGAAATTGATGGGCAGATGGCATGGGCATTCTGAGTTTGAGGACACCCTGAGATTTATATGACCCCCCATCTCAAAAAAAGTAAAGTAAGTGTGAAAGTGTCACAGGTGGAGGAGGGGTTCAGCATGAAAGTTACAGGCACATACCACCACACTGTTTGAAGACATCTGTGTTGTATCTGAACACTGAATTTTTCTTTTCTTATTTATTTTTGTTTTATATTTATGGATGTTTTATCTGCCTATATGTCTATGTATCGAATGTATGTAGTGCCTGTGGAGATCAGAATAGGGTGTTGGCTTCTGAACGGGACAATTGTGAACAGTTATATGGGTACTGGAAAAGGAACTCAGGACCTCTGCAAAAGCAGCCAGAGCTTTTAACTGCCGAGTCATCTCTCTACCCCCTGAATTTTCTTATTTGTTCCTCCCAAATACCTCATGTATTGTAGTTGCTTAGATGCATCTTTTTAGCCTTCACAGTAGCATGTACTAACTATCATTTTTGCACAATTCAAATATAACTGATCAGTAGTTTTCATAATGTGTAAGTTAGATTGAATTGTCAACAGAGACTGCTGGGTTCTGACTTCTGTCCTGATGTGCTTCTAAGCATTTCTGTTTAGTGTTGTATTAGAGTACAAGCCAGGGATAGTAAGAGAGTCATTTGTTTTCCAGATTGATGACATTGTAAAAGCCGTTGGCAACTGCAGTTACAACCAACTGGTGGAGAAGATCATCTCCTGTAAGCAGTCAGATAACAGCCAGTTGGTTAGTGAAGGTGGGTGAGTGCTGCTCATACCTAGTAAAACAACTTGTTGTAAAATTCATTGAGTTTCCATTTACCTTTTATAAGTATACAAAATAATGGTTTCTTTATAACATTTTCATAGTTGTAAATTTCTTAGGACTTCTTGTAAAAATTAAGAGAAGCATTCATAGATGTGCAGGAAAAGATTCTTCTAGATCCCTCTCAGCTGGCTGTAAAAAATCAGGGCAGGGTGCTAATAGAAGGCTTTGGATCACTTGCAGCTTTGGTGTGATCAGATGTCCATTGATTATTACTAGGGCTTACTGAATGGATTGCTTTGCTGACCCTGACCCCTTTATCTGAAGAGGGTTAATGTATTTTCCACCGTGTCTCAGTGAAGTTCAGTATGAAAGCCTCATTCTGGAACATGAGTAACTGACTAAAATTACTAAATTCACTGTCACAGAGACAGGTCAATATTTTTTCAGGGCTTTCCTCCTTTGGAGTCCCTCCCACTGTCAAGAGTTCTTTGCCATTTTTCCTCAATAAATCTATGTTTACTCTGCTTTAAAATGTGTAACATTTTTCAGAGGTGTTTCAGAAAATAGTGAATAAAGAGATCTGAAACCAGAATGCTCTCAGGCTGGAAGCTATTTGGATAAACTTTTACCACTTTTCACTCCACTGTCTGATACAAGAACATACTGAGGCTGAAGTTCTCCTTTCATACAGTAGGGGGAGAGAGAGAGAGAGAGAGAGAGAGAGAGAGAGAGAGAGAGAGAGAGAGAGAGAGAGAGAGAGAGAGAGAGAGAGAGAGAGAGAGAGAGAGAGAGAGAGAGAGAGAGAGAGAGAGAGAGAGAGAGAGAGAGAGAGAGAGAGAGAGAGAGAGAGAGAGAGAGAGAGAGAGAGAGAGAGAGAGAGAGAGAGAGAGAGAGAGAGAGAGAGAGAGAGAGAGAGAGAGAGAGAGAGAGAGAGAGAGAGAGAGAGAGAGAGAGAGAGAGAGAGAGAGAGAGAGAGAGAGAGAGAGAGAGAGAGAGAGAGAGAGAGAGAGAGAGAGAGAGAGAGGAGAAAAGGAAGAAAATCAAAAAAAGCAGGGGCAGGGGATGAGTCCCCCACGCTCACTCATAAACAGTTCTTCAACATGCAATACAATAAAAATTGATTATAGTAACACACTTTTAGAAATTAAAGCTAGTGACTACAAGGATATATAATAGGCTAGAGGCTAGGCAAGGTAGCATATGCCTTTAATACCAGAAATCAGAGGGCAGAGGCAGGAAGAGCTCTGTGAGTTTGAGATCAGTCAAGACTACATAGAGTCCCTGTCTCAAAAACAAACAAAATAATGAGCTAGGGTAGGGAGATGACACAGTTGGTAAAATTCCTGTTGGGTAAGACCTGTGTTGGATTTCCTATATCCCACCTAAAAACCAAGCACTTTGGAGTCAGGAACATTCTGGAGACCAACTGGTCAGCCAATCTAGCTAAATTGCTGAGGACCCTGTCTCAGACACAAGTGAATAGCAACTGAAAAAGACTTCCTACACAAACCTCTGGCCCTTAGCATGAACACCACACAGCCGGGCATTGGTGGTGCATGCCTTTAATCCCAGCAGAGGGAGGCGGATCTCTGTGAGTTTGAGGCCAGCCTGGTCTACAGAGCGAGTCCAGGATAACCTCTAAAACAATATAGAGAAACCCTGTCTCCAAACAAAACAAACAAACAAAAAAACCATGAACACCACACACATCAAAGCATAAAAGACTATGTAAGAGCATATAAGAACATGGGTACATGAATCTCCTATTAACTCATCCTAATAATTGTATTAATTATTCAGTAGCTTAACATATTTATACAAAAAAGCAAGTAATAAAAGTTTATCCCTGTCTTTTACTTGATAACATAAACATATAGAAACATTGATCATTTATTTGAGTGACATCTGTTTTATTATAACTTAAGGCAAAAATGTTTAAATTTAGGAAGGAAACAAGCAATAAAACTATCATAAAAAATGTTTTCTTCCAGGTGTAGTGTCTCATGTATCTTATAATCCCAGTCGGAGATTGGAAATCTGCCATGAGTTTGAGTCTGGCCTGAGCAGTGTAGCTACATAGTGAGTCCCAGGCCAATATGAGTCACAGTATGAGATCATCTCAAAACAAGCAAGAGAATCTTTTTTCTCTCCATATGCAGAATTCTACTCACTAAATGTACTCCTTTCTTTATATATTCCTGGTGTCAGATATAGTCCTGAAAATAAACCTATAAAGGAAATTCTATCTATGAAATCTACTTTATCAACAACACCCAATATACTAATAGAATTATACTATTCTAGGGATGGTGAGATGGCTCAGAGGTAAAGGCACTTCCCACAACAAACCTGATGACCAGAGTTTGATCCCCAAAACCCATGGCAGAAAGAGAGAACCAATTCCTGAAAGTTGGCCTCTAACTTCCACATGCATCCAGTAATATGCATGCAACACACACACACACACACACACACACACACACACACACACACACTATACACACATATATAATAACAATAATTTTTAAAAATATAATTCTACTATTCTGTGATTCTATGGCAATTAACAGTAAGATTCAGAAAGTGGTAAGAAGTAGAATGATATCATGAAAAGAAGTTTGGGTAAGCATGTTATAGGCAAGAAGTCACTGGAAACAGCATAACAGCATCTTTCCCTGTCCAGGCTGTGATTCTATAAGGGCAGGAGTTAGTAACACACTAATTAAATACAATGAACATGGAAAAGTCAGTTCCTTCATCCTTTTTCCCCCCTAACCTGACAGTTTAAGTCATTGCTTCTCTAACACTGACTTCCAGGGTAATGGATAGGTGTAGTTTCATAGTATGGATAATTGAGAAGAATATCTTGGCAAATACAAGAAGGAATCACCTGCTCTGCAGTGCACATACCATGCATGTTTACTATGAAGTCCTTGACAAGCCAATTTGACAGCAGTGAAACTCTATATGATTTTTTTTAAAGATTTATTTATACAGTGTTCTGCCTACATGCCAGAAGAGGGCACCAGATTGAATTGTAGATGGTTGTGAGCCACCATGTGGTTGCTGGGAATTGAACTCAGGACCCCTGGAAGAGCATTCAGTGCTCTTAACCTCTGAGCCATCTCTCCAGCCCCATGATTTTTATACTAAGAAGTAATCATATGTGAAGTTTATCACAGTTGTTGGAAAGACTAGTTTTGTGATGATAAGAAATAGTAGTATGTAGTGTGTTTAAAATTACACTAGTAATGAGTTATGTAAGGCCCCAAAGTTCACATAAATAAGGAAGAGCCACACTGAGTGTTTTCACTCACATTCGAGCAACTTTTTCCCACATGGTTACTGAACGTACACCCTTGATTCATGTTCAAGAAATAGTCTGGTTCCTTTTTGTATGTAGCCTTCAATTTTATCTCCCCCTTTGAATCAATAAAGTATCCAAACTGGTTTATTTTTAGTGTTAGAAGCTTTAGTCTTAAATGACAACTACTTTTTTTAAATCCAAATATTCCATATACCATGAAGCCTCAGAATATAAGAAATACTTTCACTAGCATTCTTTTTGGTGTCAGAAGAAGCAGCTTTTCTCTTTGGTGCTAACACCTTGAGAGCACAGCGCTGCATTGTTACAATAAACAGAGCATTCCATGTCTGATTGCTTTTTTGAATGGCCATACCTTCTTGAATCTGGTTGTTATAATGATCACATGTGACATGAAAATAAGAATCAGCCAGGTGGTGGTGGCTCACGCCTTTAATCCCGGCACTCGGGAGGCAGAGGCAGTCGGATCTCTGTGAGTTTGAGACCAGCCTGGTCTACCAAGTGAGTTCCAGGACAGGATCCAAAGCCACAGAGAAACCCTGTCTTGAAAAATCAAAAAAAAAAAAAAAAAGCCGGGCGTTGGTGGCGCACGCCTTTAATCCCAGCACTCGGGAGGCAGAGGCAGGCGGATCTCTGTGAGTTCGAGACCAGCCTGGACTACCAAGTGAGTTCCAGGACAGCCTCCAAAGCCACAGAGAAACCCTGTCTCGAAAAACCAAAAAAAAAAAAAAAAAAAAAGAAAGAAAGAAAGAAAATAAGAATCAACAAGAAAATTCCCACAGTACCAACTGCCAGACTCACCCAAAGTCAGGCATTTCATTTCACAACCTTTTAGAAGTAACCTCTTAACAACTATTCCTAGGATAAACACATACTTATGAAACTAACTCCAGGATATTTACTCATTTACTGAAACTATTTTTTGCTCAATTGCATTTATATTATCTTTATTTAGTGACAATAATTATTAATTTATTAAGTAATATCCATCATTTTTCTTTGCCCAACTTTTATTTTGAGAAGTCTAAAAGCCATAAAAAGAGTTTCTTGGTGAACAGTCACATGCTGTTAATTCACAGCTGTTCACACATTGAATACCTGCCTTTTTTCTGTGTTCCTGTACAACACATTTTTTCTTCCTAAATCATATTACAGTTAATTGCAAGTGTCACATCACTTCACTCATGCGTACATCATCATTGTCTCTTGAAAAGAAAGAATTCTGTGTAGCTTCCCCATTATGATCACAATGACCTCGGGCAAGGCAGTGTCATGTCTGTTACTTAGTATGTTGTTCATGCACTCTTTTTCCTGGTTTTCTTAACCATGCCCTCTAACTTTCCATCTCTTTCAATGTACACTACAGCCAAGGATCAGTTAGCAGTTGTAACAGCTTCAATCTGTTGTTTAGAATAGATCCCTGTTTTCCTTTTCCTTTATTTTCTTTTCTGCTTTATTTTAAACCTTTGTTTTATTCTTTGCAAATTTTATACAATATATTTTTTATCATATTCTTTCCTGATCCCCATTCCCTTCCAGGTCCTTTCCTCTACCAATCCACCCAACATGACCAAAGTCATGTTCTTCCTCTCTCTAAAAAAAAATACAGGGTCTAGAGAGATGGCTCAATGGTTAAGAGCACTGGCTGGTCTTCCAGAGGTCCTACTTCAATTCCTAGAAATCCACATGGTGGCTCACAACCATCTATAGTGGGATCTGATGCCCTCTTCTAGCATAAAGTCATACATGCAGATCTCATATACATAAAATAAATAAGTAAATATTTTTAAAAAGTCACCAAAAAAAGCATGGAATTTGATAAGTGTTGATCAACCATTCTGAGCATGGGGCCTGCCCTGGAGTGTGGGAGATACACCCAGTGTCAATCCATTGAAGAAAACTAATTTTTCTCCTCTCCCTTGAGATAGGTAGCTGATATTCAAGCTTTACCTCTACTGTCTAGCATTCATAGTGATAGAAGGTACTGTATACACTACTGGAGAAGTAATCATCAGTCTCACCCAGCTACAAACCCTGTGAGCGGTAAGAACAACCTGCCTGCAACATATGCTCACTGGTACAAATGTAAATGGTGTAGGAGTAACCAGTCACTTTCTGGTGGGATATAAAGTCCACTCCATGAGATGGAACCCATACCTGATACTGTTAATGAGGCCAGGGATCAGACATTAGATAGGTCATGGGCCCAGGGGAAAACCTACTACTACTATCTGCTAAATGAACACAACAATAAAACAATTCCTAATAACACATTGCTTGACCCTTAGATCAATGCCTTACTCAGCCCACATCAGAGAAGCTTCTTATATCATATGATACTTAACACAAAGATCCACAACTGGGCAACATGCAGAAAGAGAGAGAGACTTTGGAGTGTTCAGCCCTGAAAGAGTATCTCATCATAGCTCCTCCCTGTCAAAGGGAACTGTTTGGGAAAGGGGAGTGGAAGAGTGTAGGAGCCAGAAGTGGTGGACACTTTTAAGGAAACAACATTGTCCAGACACAACAGGGCAGATGCACATGTGAACTCATAGAGACTATGACATTACTCATAAGGCAGACACAAACTCAAATCAGATAACCCTCTAACCGTACCCCCATACAAAGGAAGGGATATTGATACAAAGTTCTACCACTAGCCAAGAAGGTTTTTTTTTCCTTTTATGAGACAGGGTTTCTCTGTATTATTTTGGAGGCTGTCGGTCCAGCCCAGCCTCGAACTCACAGAGATCCGCCTGCCTCTGCCTCCTGAGTGCTGGGATTAAAGGCGTGCGCCACCACTGCCTGGCAGAAGGTATTCTTTTGTTTGGTTTTGGTTTTGGTTTTGAAGACAGGGTTTTATTGTTTAGCTCTGACTATCCTGGAACTCAGTTTGTAGACCATGGTGGCCTCAAACTCACAGAGATTCGACTGCTTCTACCTCCCAAGTGCTAGGATTAAATGTGTGCCCCACTACCACCAGGGAAAGCTATTCTTTCAAACTTTTTAAAACTTACTTTTTGCCGGGTGGTGGTGGCAGCACACACCTTTAGTCCAAACATTCGGGAGGCAGAGGCAGGCGCATCTCTGTGAGTTCGAGGCCAACCTGGTCTACTGAGTGACTTCCAGGACAGGCTCCAAAGCTACACAGAAAAACCCTGTCTCAAAAAACAAACAAACAAACAACAACAACAAAAAATCCCTTTTTTTATTTTTGTGTGTGTGTGTGTGTGTGTGTGTGTGTGTGTGTGTGTGTGTATACCACATTTATGAGAGTAACCACTGAGGCCAGAAAGGGGCTTTAGTATCATCTGGAGTTAGAGTTACAGGTATTTGTAAGCAATCAGATTGTGGGTACTAGAAACCAAACTTGGGTCCTTTACAAGATCAGTATGTGCTTTTAACCAATGGGCCATATCTCCAGCCCCCCCCTTAAAACTTTCATGCATTTATGGCATTGTTCTCTTCCCCCCCCTTTTCTACCCTCTCTTTCTTCTCAGTCCTCATCTACTCCCATTCTTCTCTACTAACATTTTTGGATAGTGAAGGCAAGAATTTTATAGCCTAGCCCCAATTTTGATTTACCTGTTGTTCTCTTATGAGTAGATATAGGTGATATAATTTTAATTGGGATGCCGCACAGATGACATACTTTATATTAGTCTTACTGCATCAAATTGGATGCATGAGTCAGATAATTCATCATTAGTTATATTTAAACCTGAATAAGGTGGAATAGGCCAAATATCCTTATTGTAAAACCTTTTTACTTTGTAATTAATAAGTAATAATGTGTAATTAATAATCTTCCATTAGGTTTTGAAAGTGTGTGAATAGCCTTTTCTCTAAGAATTGTATAAACAATAGATTTGGAACCATTGATTTTTCCTTTTTTGAGACAGGGTTTCTCTGTAACTTTGGAGACTGTCCTGGAACTTATTGTGTAGACCAGGCTGGGCTGGAACTCACCGAGATCTGCCTGTCTCTGCCTCCCGAGTGCTAGAATTAAAGGCGTGCACCACCACTGCCCTGCTTGGAACTATTGATTTTTAACTGAATAAATTATGGTTGTTATAGTTATTATGTTTTTATTATTCCTTTTATACTTCTGTAAAAAAATCAATTTAATTAGTTATTCAAAGTTGAACCTAGAGTATCCTTACCTATACTGGATTAAAATTACCACTTAAGAGACAACAAAAGAATTAGGGAACATTGTATTTTTAAATTATTAATAAGTTTATGCTTTATGACATGGGGCAATATGTAATTCAGGTGGAATTCATAATAATCTCTGTACTAAATTGGCAACATCTTAATATCAATAGTAATTACTCTGGTCCCAGTCTTCACTTTGCCATAACAGATGGGCAAATCATCTGTTTTCTGTAAGCCTATTTCCTATTTTATAGATAGAAGACTGAAAAATATGTGTCAAGTGTTCATTTTTTAATTCCACAACATAATGGTAGTGTGCTGTTTCCAGTGAATTTTTTGTATTTTCTCAAGGAAGATTTTATGGGCATGGATACTGCAACCAGAAATACTTTTGAGCAAATGGTGCATCCTTTAATGTGGTACATAATAGTAAAAGCTTGAATACATTCTGCTGAACAAGGTGATAACAATAACATGAAGAGGAACTCTTATTTTCCAATGTATAAACACAAGTGTATGCTGTAAACCTCAAACTCTCCTCTTCCCATCCAAGTCCTTGTTGTGCTGCATTGTAACTGTCTACAACTCCTTTGAACCCCCAAGTGCCCGGGCCTGACAAAAAGTAATGGAAAAGGAGTATCCTAACCTGCTTTGCTCAGCTACACTGGGCTTGCCAAAATAACTCAGTTATTTTCACCTTCCTATTGAAGTAGCTCTTAAGATAAACTCAACTGGACTCTCTGCACCTCTTGGTGTGCTCTCTGTATCTCTCTCTGTCTCTGTATCTCTGTGTGTGTCTCTGTATGTGTGTGTGTGTCTCTCTATGTTTTTTTGAAAGACTCTCACTATGTAGCCCTGGAGGGTTGGCTTTGAACTCACAGAGATTTAAGGCATATACCACCGTGTCTAGCCTTAGCTCTCTTATAAAATGTTGTAGAGTAACTTCCCTGTTGTTGTTTATTGTGTCTGTGTCTCTTTTAAACAACCTGAAAGAATTTTCATAAGTTAGGAGACTATACTTGTGGATGAAAGTGGTTTCACATCACTGTTTTTTCAGGACAGAAATCACCAGGGATACTGCTCCAATAAGAAAATTAGAAAGATGCATCTCCAGTCTTGAGGCCATCATGTAACAGAATAAGTCTTATATTAATTGGCCTTTGTATACAACTGGAACAAATGTAAATAGGAAAAATAACTTTCTGATTTTGAAATGATTCTTCCTTCTCATAGTACACGTTGGTTTCATAGGCTTTGTAGCTGAGCAGTTTCTAAACAATACAGCCACCCAACTGACGTACCATGGATTGTGTGAACTGACTTCAACGGTTCAGGAAGGAGAACTCTGTGTGTTCTTTCGGAATAATCATTTTAGCACCATGACAAAACACAAGGTAGGATATAGAAACGGATATTTTTCCTCTCAATCAAAGGAGCTTGATTTAGAGGTGTATTTTGATTTACTACAGAATAATGTTGATCTTAATATTCCTTAGCCATCAAGTTGTAAGTGTAATTATTATTAAATACTGGGTTAGAATGGAATGGATTAGCAATTGAAATGTTACCTGATCAGCTTTATTTTAAATGAAGTCTCAACTTCTTTGTCACAGATTATTGCATTCAAGTGTTTACTTTTCTACTTTCTTGGAAAGAGAATTTCACTGGGTAACTCACACTGGCCTTGAATTTGAGATCTTCCTGCCTCAGCCTTTGGAACACTGGGATTGCAGTCATGTGCTATCATGCCTAGCTAGGTTATATCTTACTTAGAGGAAACAAAATACCTAGAACTAGAACCAAGGTGACTATGAATGAAGGATGTTTATATTTAAGCATTAAAATATATTAGAAATTAGAATTATAAAATTTGCCCTAAACTGGAATGTGTTGGTGCTTGCCTGTGATCAAGCTACTGAAGAGGCTGAGCAGAAGGATTACAGGTTCAAGTCTAGCCTGGGCTATACAAGAAGATTCCCCCCACTCCCAGACACACACAGATTATCTTTATGAAAGTGTTGGCTTTTATTGAAGTTATCAGTGTATTTATGGTTTTACATACACACACATACACACTCTTACAAATCCATCTCTTTTATTCATTTCTTAGATTTGTCTCTTGATTTTACAGGAAACATATAGTTCAGGAACTTATCATCAACATAGACCCCTATGGAAGAATACTGTTCATACAATGTTGATAATACAGCACAGATGTTCAGTTAGCACCTACGCCTAGAGGATAAAATACAGGTCCCCTCTGCCACAGCTCCCATCCTATATGAGTTTAATGTGTTCCCATTTACTGCCATTCTTATTTCTTCATACTATTTGGGAAGCTTTCCTCACTTCTATTTGCCTGTCCCCAAATTACCCATCCTTAAAGAAGCATTTCAAATACTAGCTTACTGAAAGACACCTTTCTTCTACTTAAACCAGTGGTTCTCAGCCCTGATTGTACCCTAGACCTATCTGGATGGCTTAAAAAAATACTGGTGCCTGGAACTTACCACCAATGCAATTAAACCTGAATCTCTAAAAGAGGTGGAACCTGAACACCAGGTTTTTTGTTGTTGTTGTTGTTAGTTGTCTGTTTTGTTTGTTTGTTTTGCAATCCAGAAGATTAGACCCAGTTACACATGCTAGGCAAGCACTCAATCATTATGCTACACTGTCTGTTCTGCATCAGTAGCTTCAGATGCTTCCCAGGTGGTTTTAATGCAAATCTAAGACTATGGACCACTGCTGTAACCATCCTCCACCTGTTAGTGGCCGCATTGTCCTTATTGAGTTTTTACTATCTTGTTTCTTGTTACCTCCCATGTGAATGTTTATTTTCTAAATGAAGGTAGCTTATCGAAGTCATAAATCATATCTTCATGTTTCAATCAATGCTTTTTAATCATGGGGCAATATAAAATTATTTGTTTGCCAATGAAAGAATACCTCAAAGCTATAGCTCTTCTATTACTGTCATACTTTAAGAAGAGTACATTTTATTGCTTCAGCTTCATAGCTAGGAGAGTGCAAGATGAGAGTTATTCACATTTCTCAAGAATCTAAAGCCACCTGGTCTACAAGAGCCAGTTCCAGTTCCAGGACAGCCTCCAAAGCCACAGAGAAACCCTGTCTCGAATAAACAAAAAAGAAAAAGAATCTAAAGCCAAAGGATGTCAGATCCAAATGATGGCTGCTCCATCATTTTGCTTTACTTGTTCTCTTCAGACCTTGGATCAACTGATTATCTAACAAAGCTAAAGTAGCTCTGACAACTACAGTCATAGTTATAGCAGCCATGGTTCCTGCCATTTAAGGACTTCTTTGTTTAATACTGATATGCTTCTGTCAAGAACACATACCACAAAACTCTGAGAGCTCTTATCAAGACCTTACCTAGAAAGATATCCCTGAGAAGGTCGTATGCACACAAGCCTAAGGACTTGGGGTGTACATCTCAGTGGTAGAGCACTTGCCCAGCATGCACAAGACCCTCAGCACTGCAAAAAACAAAAACAAACAAAAAAACTTCTGAAATCTGAGAACGAATCATCTGAGTTTAATCAGTTAAAAACAAAAAGAAATAACTAAGCAGAAATAACTAGCAGCCGGCACGTGTGCAAAGGCCCTGAGGTGATCATATCAAAAGAGAGTTGTGAAGTGGAAGTTTAGAAGTAAGATTTTTTTTTCTGGCTTTTGTTTTGTTTTGGTTTTGGTTTTTGGAGACAGGGTTTCTCTGTGTAGCCCTGGCTGTCCTAGAACTCACTCTGTGCACCACACTGACCTTGAACTCAACAGATCCACCTATCTGCCTCCTGAGTGCTGAGATTAAATGTGTGTGCCACCACCACCTGGCTGAACCTGAACTTCATTTTCTTAATGACTCTGGTGTTTCTTTTCTTCTTCTTTTGGCTCAAGCGTGAGTAGGAATGAAGTAGTCCTTTGGGAAAACAAGGTCTCTGATTGTCATTGGTGGCTGAGAGCCTTCTCTCCCTCTCTCCCCCTTCTCTTCCCACCCCTCACCTCATACGTGCTAGGTTAGCACTGTACCATGGAACTACATTGCTTCTATTAAAGCCTTATCCCCAGCCAGGAAGCCTTTACTGGTCAGCTAGGTATCCCCAATTTTGTGTGGTTGAAGAGGATGTGCCTGTGTCTAGACCAAGCATGCCTTGAGAGCTCAGAAAATATTTCTGCTTTTTTTTTCCTCTTCTAGGATATCCCATTATTTATTCTGTAGCTTAACAGTGCTGCACTGGTGTCATGTGCTCTCATGCCTCTTGTGTGACATTAATTTGCTTTAGTCTGAGAGCAGATGTGGAATTTAGTTAGAAGACACTCACTGCAAGAGATAAAGGAAGGAGATTCTAGTGATTCGGACAATAGATTCAATGCAATGTGGAAAGATTCCAAAGTGAGTCAGGAGATAGATCAGCCAGATATCTCCATTGAATTTGAAAAATAAGTGATTTCTGGGTCCTCTATAGATGGTGATGTTCCTTACTAAATCATACACGACTGGCCATGCATGGGAGCACAAATCTTTAATCTTAGCACTTGGGAGGCTGAAATAAGTGAAGCTCTGTGAGTTCAAGACCAGTCAGAGTTACAGGACTGTCTCAAAACAAACAAAAGAAACAGATACAAGGGGGGAAAAAGATAAGTGTTAAGGGTCTAAGATGTAAGAGGTACTTCTGAGGTGACCTTCAAAGTGGAAATGCCAAGTTAATGCTGATTTGGACATACAGAAAGAATTTTAGGATTTACAAGAAAATACAGTAAGTAATTTGAGGGGGTGGTTACAAGAAAAGGAATCAGAAGAGAAAACATAGGATAGAGAATTAATGAATGCCAACTTTTTGGTTTGTTTTGGTTTGGTTTTGATTTTCGAGACAGGATTTCTCTGTGGCTTTGGAGGCTGTCCTGGAACTAGCTCTTGTAGACCAGACTGGTCTGGAACTCACAGAGATTCACCTGCCTCTGGGATTAAAGTGCTGGGATTAAAGGCGTGCACCATCAACGCTCAGCCTGAATGCCAACTTTTAAAGGATCAAATCACAGAAGAAACATTAGTAAAGACAACTGAGAAAGAAGGGGACAAGTGGGAAGTTAGAGTGTGTCATCTAGGAAGCTAGAGGAGAAGAGATAATCCTAAGGGTAGACATGGGAAGAGGGGAACAGGAGTGGCAGCAAAAGAATTTTAGTTACTTAAAGTGACTGGAATGAAGAAGGCAGTAGCCAGCAACTCCTAGAAATGGTTTGCTGAGGGCTGGAGTGCTTCAATTAAGAGAACTGGCTGTTCTTTCCATAGGACCTGAGTTTGAGTTTGAACTCAGGTTATGTGATTCACACACACACACACACACACACACACACACACACACACACAAAGGGCCTGGAGAGATGGCTTAGTGCTTAAGAAATAAACATTAAGAGAAACTTGTTCATAAATATATGCTAAAGAAGGAGATGTTGAGTCTGGTGTTGGTAGTGCATGCCTTTAATCCTGGCTCTTGGGAAGTAGAGGCAGGCAGATGTCTGTGAGTTCAAGGCCAGCCTGGTCCACAGATCAAATGCCAAGGCAGTCTCCAAAGCTGCACAAAGAACCCCTCTCTTGAAACAACAACAACAATAAAAAGGAGCTGTTGGACATAAGAGTGATAACTCCTCCCTGTAGGAGGTTTAGGCATATAAATATGGAACCCAAGGTTTTTTTTTTCATGTTTTTGTGTGTTATGTTTTGTTTTATGAGGCAGTTTTACTGTGTAACTTTGGTTGGCCTGGAACTCACTATGTAGATCAGGCTGGCCTTGTACTCATAGAGATTTACCTGTCTCCTAAATTCCAGGATAAAAAAGTATTCTTCCATCATACTAGGCCTCAGACTTTCTACATTGGTAGCTTACTTCAGAATCCAGTACCCAAATGATGTCCCTGCCTCAAGTTCCCTTGCACTAGGAGCACAGTCACATACCACTGCACCTGCATCTGGCTCTTGGGTTGTTTTGGTTGTTTTTCTTTATTATTGGGAAGTATACAAAGTTTGTGTGAACACTCAGGCACACACTTGTGTGCCATGGTGCACTTGTAGAGGTAAGGAGTCCCAGGAATCAAATTCAAGTTGTCTTTACCCCTGAAACCATTCCACCACCACCCCTATTTTTATTTTTAATGTGAGAAACTTGATTGTTTTTAAAACATTGACAGACTCATTAGAGAGAAAAAAGTGAAGATTCCAAAGATGTTAGAACCTTTAGAAGGTAAAATGAAGCATAGGTATCTTCCCACAGATGAAGAAGATCAACATATGACTATTTTGTTATTTGTTTTGAAACAGGGTCTCACTATGTAGCTCTGGCTGTCTTCGAACTCACTATGTAGACCAGACTGGCCTCGAACTCAGAGATTCACCTCTCTCTGCCTCCTGAATGCTGGAATTAAAAGCATGCACCACCACACCTACCAAACTATAGTTCTATCTGTGCACTATAATGAAAGAAAGAATGGGCTTGAGGTTTGCTTTTGCTTCCCTTTTTCCTGTTAGTGATTAGAAGTGAAAAGTGTTCTGAGTTATACTAAAGCTGGTAAGAAACAAATATGTGGTTTGAGGAGTAATAAAGTGGTAACGAAACTTGCTTAACAAGTTCTACAAGGCCCTGGATTCTCTCACCAGCACTGCTAAATAAATAAATACAATATTTTTTACACTTTGACTGAGAGTGGTAGCTTCTTCCCCACATTTAAGTGAAAATTCATTTAGTTGTTTTAAAGATGACTGATGAATGAGGAATTTATTTTAAAGGTAAGAAAGGGGAAGAAATGTGGAAGAGTAGGGGAGTGACTCCACAGGCATAAGTTTGTCCCTTTCTCTTAAGTGGGGACAGAAGGGACACTGTTATTGATTAGACAACAGCAGGGTTGAGGACATGTGTAGCTCAGTGGTGGGGCACTTAAAACACAAATGGGGCTGGAAAGATGTTTCAGTTTAAGAACATGCACTGCTATCGCAGAGCTTATCAGTCCTCAGCACCCACTCAGGGGGCTCACAACAGCCTGCAACTCCTGCTTCAGAGGATCTGACACACTTCTGGCCCCACGGGGCACTGCACTTATGCTCCAACACACACATAGACACACAGTTTGGGGCTTTTTGTTGTTGTTGTTATTTAAAGAAGCAAAATGGCACAGAGAAAGGGAAAGACTGGTTTGGGTCAGTTATTACTATTAGATTAATTTTTAAAGTAAATAAAACCAGACAATGTTGGGTTTGTTGTTGTTGTTGTTGTTGTTTGGGGTGTGTGGTAGGTGTATGTGTGTGTGTGTGTTGCATTTGCTTTCTGGTTGTATCTTTCTATTTTGTGAAATGAGGTTGTAAATCCCAGAGCTGTTTGTTAGCATGTCAGAAGCTCATTACCTCCTGTTTCACTGTGCTGTGCTGACTACCAGCTCTAGTCAAAACCAGTGACTTTGAGCAGAGAAGCTGTTTGGTCTTTTTATTGGGTTGTATGGATCCTGTTAGAATAATTACTGTACTTCAAACACACAGCTTTAAAATGTTCCTTAAATATAATGTTGGATAGTTTGGGAGGATTTAACACTCCTTTTTCATTTGTTATTTCTTACTAAGGGTCAACTGTATTTGTTGGTAACAGACCAGGGGTTTCTTACTGAAGAAAAAGTTGTCTGGGAAAGCCTACACAATGTAGATGGTGATGGAAATTTCTGTGACTCAGAATTCCATCTGCGACCTCCTTCAGATCCTGAGACTGTGTACAAAGGTCAGCAAGACCAAATAGATCAGGTAAAATTGGTTTTCCCCAACCCCCATCACATTGTCTAAAGTGCATATTGTTTCTTTTTTCTGAGACAGGGTCTCACTATACAGCCTTGACTTGTCTGGAACTCCCTATGTAGACCAATTCCCTTGAACTCAGAGATCTGCCTGCCTCTGCTTCCCAAATGGCGGAACTAAAGACTTGTGCCACCATGCCTGGCTAAAGTGCATACTCCTAGTTGAGGCATGGCAATATACACAACTGTTTAGGAGGCTGGGGAATGTTACTGAACTCACAAGTTGGAGTCAGCCTGGGCAACATATAAGATTCAGTGTCAACAAGGAAAAAATGAATTATTTTCAACTGTCAGTTTGTTTATATAGAACTTTTGATTCGTCCATTAATTCTATTCATTTATTTATTTATTTGTTGGTTGGTTGCTTGGTTGGTTGGTTTTTCGAGACAGGGTTTCTCTGTGTAGCCCTCGATGTCCTGGAACTCACTATATAGACCAGATTGCACTCAACCTCACAGAGATCTGCCTCCCTCTGCCTCCAAGTGCTGGGATTAAAGATGTGTACCACCAAACTATTCATCCATTAATTTACCTGTGAGTTCTCCTCATATTTCCTAAATAGGAAAGTGATCATCCTATATATTCTACATGAGCATCAGTTATACACTATGATTTAGAAGGTGGATTGTGTTGAACTGTGAGGGTCATAGTGAGGACTTTGAATTTCATTCTAATTACAGTAGAATAATTATGTTGAGTGTTAAATGTGGAAACTTACATGAACTATGATATGTTTTTAAAAGATTGCCATGTGGAAAATGCATAGGAAAGAAATAGGCATAAGCAGAAACTAGAAATCCATTTTATTTATTTATGTAGTTAGTTTGTATGTGGGTTAGTATGTACACCACAGTGTACCTGGAAGTCAGGGGACAAATGTGTAGATCGATCTGTCCTTTTCTATCAACTATGTAGGTACCAGGAATTGAACTCTGGTCATCAGGATCAGGCTTGGCAATAGTAGCCTACACAGACACAGACACGGGGGAATATATATTTTTTGAGACAGGGTTTCTCTGTGTAGTACTGACTGTCCTGGAACTTGATCTGTAGACCAGGCTGGCCTTGAACACAGAGATCCACCTTCCTGTGACTCCAAAATTAAAGGTGTGTACCACTACCACCAAGAGGGGGGAGCAAGAAGGGAGAGAGAGAGAGAGAGAGAGGGAGGGAGGGAGGGAGGGAGGGAGGGAAGGGGAGAGAGGAGAGAGGAGAGAAAGAGAGAATAAGTAAATAAATAAATGTAAAAAAATAATAAGTATAACTTTTGACCAAAATGAGCTTTTTTTTTCATAGGTGATAGTCAAGGTATGTAGCTAGGAGAAAATGTAATTTCCTAGTAATTGAGTGTGACTATAACTACATTGGCTTTAAAAATCATCTTTTGGGGCTGGGGAAATAACTCAGTTTGTAAAGTGCCTGCTGCCCACACTGAGGACCTGAGTTCAATCCTCAGCTCCCATGTAAAAAGCTGGGAATGGCCTCACACCCTTGTAATCTCAGTGCTGGGGAGGCAGAGACAAGATGATCCCTGGGATTCATGGCCAGCCATGAAAACCTGATTTCAAATTCCTAACATCCATGTAAAAAGTCAGGTATGGCTATGCATCACTGTAACCCCAGCATTAGGAATGGAGACAGGTGTCTCCTGCAAGCTGGTTGACTACCTAGCTTAGCTTGGTCCAAAAAATGAATTTATAATTCACCGAGACACCCTATCTCACGACTATAATACAGACTGTCTCAAGACTATAGTATAGAAAGATACCCAGTGTCTTGCTCTGACCACCAAAGGTGTGCACACATGTACATGCCTATATCCCTCCCCATTTACACACACACACACACACAGAGGAGAGAGAGAGAGAGAGAGAGAGAGAGAGAGAGAGAGAGAGAGAGAGAGAGAGAGAGAGAGAGAGAGAGAGAGAGAAACATGAATGACACTTGAGGTTGTCCTCTGGCTTCCACTCACAGGCAACTTTGAGGCCAGCAGGACCATATAGCAAGGACCTTCCTCAAAAATGAATACCTAAGGGACTAGAGAGATGGCTCAGTGGTTAAGAGCACGGGGTACTCTTTCAGAGGACCTGAGTTCAATTCCCAGCAACCACATGGCAGCTCACAACCACATGGCAGCTATAACTCCAATGCTAGGGAATCTGGCACCTTCACATAGACATACATGCAGTGAAAAACAAAAACTATGAGTAACTAAATAATGTAAAATAAAAACAAGACCATCCTTTGAGCTGGATATGGTAGTATGTAGCTGTAATCCAGCCCTTGGGAGGCTCAGGCACAAAGATCTGCAACTGAGATCAGCCCAAGACAAAACAATGTAGGGGGAGGGGGAAGAATTGAGTAAATAATCTTATGAAATCCTTAGACTATTTTAAAAAACAAATGTTAAATGGAAAATAAAAGCTTAAAATAGTTTTAGAGGATGGGAGATGTATTTGAATTTCTATATGAATATAGAAAATACTAGATGGCTATAAATACTCAACAGTGACATCTGTTACAGTGATTTCAACCATCATATTTCTGGTTTTCTGTCTTGTCTGCATGTTCCATATGCACATGTTTCATTTGTAAACAAGAGGATTCTTTTTCAGTAGCTGTCTTGAATGCCTTATTTATTGCTTCTAGAGAAGATTTCAAACAAATTCTAAGCTATGTAGAACAATGATGATAATGAAGTAGAAATCTGTAGCTCTGCAAAGAAGTGCTTACAAATAGAGCTTGAAGACCTGTGCTGTAAAAGCCATTCTCAGAGCTCATTAATGGGTATCTAATCTTCACACTGGCTGGTTCCTGGGTCACATCTCAAAGCTGAAGTTGGTTGTGATTGAACTCCTCAGGACTACCTTATGGCACTGTCACTGCAACAAGAACAGCAGAACCAAGAGATCAACTGGGAGCAAATTCCAGAAGGAATCAGTGACCTGGAGTTGGCGAAGAAACTCCAAGAGGAGGAGGACAGACGAGCCTCTCAGTACTATCAGGAACAGGAGCAGGCACAGGTGGCTGTGGCTGCCACCACAACTTCCACACAGGTCCAGGTAAACTTCAGCTCTGTGAATCTCAAACATGGCAGCCACTTTAGCAGTAAGAGGCTTTGTTTGGGAGAAGCAGTTGAAAGTTGGCTCTAGCTTTTCAGCTATGTTAGCTTGTCAGTCAGCACCCAAGGGTTTGAGGGTTTTTGTTTTATTTATATTTTATATGTGTGAGTATTTTGCTTGCATGTATATCTGTGCAGTGTGTGTGTGCCTGGTGCCTGCAGAAGTCAGAAGAGGGCATCAGATTCCCTGGAACTGGAATTATAGACAGTGGTGAGCCACCATGTGAATGCTAGGAATCAAACCCAGGTCCTCTGCAAGAACAAGTGCTCTTAACCACTGAGCCATTCTCTAGCTCTTCCTGTGGAATTCTTTCACGTTGTTCTAAGTTTTTTACTATCCTAACATATTTCTGACTTCATGAAAACATTTTTTCAGATGTTCTCATAAGATTATTTAACCTTTTTCTTTTAAGACCTTTACAACTACAAACTATAAATTAACTTGAACTTCCTTTGAGCTAGAAACAGTCTGAGGTTTTGCTAGAAACAGTACAATTTTCAGAGCCATAGAGACATGGGCTTACAGTTCCTGCTGGTTCCTCCTTCTGATTGCAAACACCTGATTACAGTCTTCTGCCTCTCAAGGCGCCTTTCCCTATTAGTAAAACAGAAGACTTCATTCTGAGGCTTCCTTAGAAACAACAGTGCTGCCATTTAACTCAGTTTCCAACACATATTCAGCACAGGTTAGCATTTCTCTCCTTGGCACCTGTGTTGATTTTTTGGGGGGGCGTTTTTCGAGACAGGGTTTCTCTGTAGTGTTTTGGAGGCTGTCCTGGAACTCACTCTGTAGACCAGGATGGCCTCAAACTCACAGAGATCTGCCTGCCTCTGCCTCTCAAGTTCTGGGATTAAAGGCGTGAGCCACCAATGCCAGGCTTGTGTTGATTATTTTTAAGCAGCAAAATATGACTGTCACACAAGTTTCTGCATGCTAAATCTCACTTCATGAATTAAAAGGTATCCCTTTATTTTATGCTAACCTATACCATGCCAGATCCTTTCCCTATGGCTTGGGTATACAAGATACCAAGTACAGAATTCACCGATAAAAGGGCTAGGGCAGTGACTCAGCAGGTAAGAGTGTTTGGTATGCAAACATGAAGACCTGAGTTCACATCCCCAGTACTCACATAAAAGGCCAGATACAACCATACACCTATAACCCCACAACGGCAGATAGGAGGATCTCAAGGGCTTGGTGGCCTTGAATCTAGCTCCAGATTCTAAGAAAACATCTCTCAAGGAAATAAGGCTGAGAGTGAAAGAGGACACCAGATATACTCCTCTGGTCTTGCACTCACACCACATACAAGGGTGCAGGCTCGTGTGTTCGTGCCCGCATACACACACACACACACACACACACACACACACACACACACACACACACACACACACACTCCCTCTTTCCATTAAAATACATGTCAAACTTCTGCCTCTAAATCAAATACTAACTATCCAAGCTTATCAGATGAGTCCTACCATGTTAAAAAATCAGCTTTTCATTTCATCCAAGTTCTCTGATCTCATAGCACACATTTTTATTTTAACTTTAAGTTCTCAGGATTCTTATTTATTGTTTTTAAGATTTGTTTATTATGGGGCTGGAGAGATGGCTTAGAGGTTAAGAGCACTGGCTGCTCTTCCAGAGGTCCTAAGTTCAATTCCCAGCAACCACAGGGAGGCTCACAACCATCTATAATGAGATCTGGTGCCCTGTTCTGGTTTGCAGACATACATGGAGGCAGGATATTGTATTCATAATAAATAAATAACTATTTAAAAAAGATTTGTTTATTATATTTAATGAAATCCTGAAGAAATACTATAGCTTACCAAAATTGTCACTTTAACACAAATAGTTCTTAAGCTTAAATAGTTTAATTATGTATTTGGAATACTAAGTACATAATTAATTATACATTATTTGTCAGATATCCCGTGTATTAATTCTCTCACACCTGACATAAGCAACTTAGAGAAAAAGATTTGTTGAGATTTACAGTAAAGGATACAGTTCATCATAATGAGGAAGGCACAGTTGGACAGTACTCAGTTGGTAGAAGTTGGTAGCACAGCATTTTCTGTCCTTTCCATCATGAAGCAGCAGCAGAACCAGACAGGAAGACATGCCCTGCTACTTTCCTTACACTCACCCTTATGTGGACCACTAGGCCCTATTCCCTAAGACACCGAAACTTCCCACAGCAACAAGCCTGCTGTGGACCAGGGGCATCTCGCATCCAAAGCCCAATACCTGTAAACAGAAGCCATGCCCCCAAGTGTCAGTTTCTGTAAGGATGCCTTTTGCTTTGTGGTTCTAGCTAGCTCTGATTCTCAAGAAAGTTAGTCATCTCTTCCCATGTGTTTCTCATACAGCAGAGCCAGCCAGCACAACAAGCCTCTCCATCAAGTGTAAAACAGCCTGGAAATAGTGAACGGAAACGCAAGGAACCTCGGGAAAAAGACAAAGAGAAAGAAAAGGAAAAAAATAGCTGTGTGATTTTGTAGGAAGTGCTGGCATCTGTGGGAACCACCTATGCAGGTGACGGAAAGGAAGACCCAGTACCTACCGTCTGTGCCTGATCTCCCAATGGATTTTGCTCTTGTTTTCCAGGGGAAGGTTGTTACTTTATTACAATCAACTTTTTTAAGTTACACAATACACTCTTTATGAGCTGGAGTTTTATGTAACAAGTTGGAACTGTTGTGTGTTGTCACTTGTAGCCAAATAAGTATATCACCCTATTTTGTGTTTAGTGACATGGCAACTCTAATCAGTTAGTAAGCTACTGTGTTGTCTGACAATGGATGGAGGTCACTGAGTGAGTCCAATCCTTCTCAAGATGTAATTATTAGCACAACTGTTTCTGAAACATTTATGTTAAATTATGTCCTAATACATAAAAAAATGAGGAGTTTAATATAGGGAGAGAGAAGAAGCAGGAATAAATGACCCTTCATTGTACATTGAACTGGTTCAGCCCTTGAACAGCTTTATCTTTCGTTAGTAATGTACATTTTAGCTATTATCTTGAGAACTCATAATAGAGCTTGGATCCAATTTAGATAGAAAAATATGTTTTATTTTCCAATAGCAAAAAACAAAAAATTACATGACACTAATACGTATAACCTATCTAAATCACATACTGACTTTGTAGTGTTGTGAGGACGAATTTTAACAACTTTAGGTAACCTGAATGGTGTTTGTTAAGGGTTAATATGTGAGTGAGGAGGAGACCACACTCATGTTCAGCCTTGTAAATATGATGGCAGAGAAGAGCAGAGTTCACTGTCTACCTTTTTCTAGAATTGCCTTGAACCTTAAATTTTAAATCATGTTTATTGCTAGAAAATTAAGCATAGTTATTTAAACCAATAAAAAGCACATTTCTGAAGGAGAGTTAATCTCTTGACTCTAGTGAAAAGATATTAATAAAATTTTGAACATAGCAGGAATCTGAAGGAATTTATGTAAAAGCAACCAGATTTTTTAACTTATGAGAACCAAATAAACCTAAGACATCTATCATTTATAGGCTTCTAAAAGAATATTTACTCAGCTTTGTGATGAGGCAGCACATATTGTATTTCTAGATCAAGTGTGGAAAACTATCCTTAACAGTCCTTTTTATATACTTTGTATTTAAAGTTTGTTTCAGTCATTTCTAAAGATTATTGCTGGTGCAGATAGCTGTGTGATTTGCCCTAAGCCTCAGTAAACTTGTTTATTCAGGAATATCACAAATTGAATGTCCAGTCAGAGAATATTTCTTGTGGTTTGGAGGCAACGAAAGACTACCAAAAAAAAAAAAAAGGTAGTTCAGAGTTTCTTGAGATTATTGTCATTAACATTCTCCATGATCCCAACCAGCTGTAGGATGAATCTGTATGTAAAAAGTAGAGTTTTCTTTATGAAAAGTATTATTCCTTTATATCCTCCTATATTACGTCTATTTATGTTGTTATTTCTTCAGACTTCCTATGCTAGCATGGGAACCAATCAGAGAACCTGCCAGGGTATAAAATTTGTGTATAAAATACTTGGTAAGTCTCTAGATTCCAGCCTAGAGTGAGTGTGAATTGTCAAGAGCTCAGACCCCTTTGGGTGGACTGACCTCAGCATAAACACCCATGATAAATAGCACTCTGGTGATTAAAGGAGAAAGCTCAAACCTCAGGGTTTGCTTTTCCCAGAACAGTCTATTATTTTAATCTAGAAAACAATAAACCTTGAGTAATTTTTAAAAATATACTTGAGGCATATTTTTCCATAGTTATATACAATATCTATTTATTGCCCTTGAAGAATCTATATATAAAAGTTGTGTTATTATCTTAATTTGTTCCAAAGATAATACTGCCATACTGCATTCCCTCTAGAAGAAATAAAGAGCAAAACAAACACAACTCACTCAAAACCAGCATTGCTGCTATCAGATATGCCAATGTGCCCTTATGACAAGCAATGCGTTGTGTTTGTTAATCCAGTTTTGTCTTATCAGATTTGCAAGTTGGGCTTGGCTACATTCCTGGAATTGTTTGATATCAAGAGTCATATTTGTTTGATTACTCTGGGGGAAATTAAATGTTTGACTCTATTAAAACAAATTTCTGAGATGCTTTCCTGTCTTCAAAGGTTGTCAAGGATCTAAACTGCCGTGTGCTTATTTCCTATGCTTTGCTCAAGGTAGCAAGTGATAGATATTCAAGCATATTGTTGCTTATTTGGGTACATAGGACTTTGAAAATGGTATTTTGAGGGATTTTTTGCCTCACAATACTTTGTAATACTTGAAATTATTATACATATCTTGCTAACAGACATTAGATTTTAAACATTTTGGAGCTTAATGTTTCTAGGTTAAATTTCAGGCACATTTGCCTCATGTACCCATTCAGCAGGAGAGCTGGTAGAAGGCAGGTGGAGAAGAAGATACGGTCCTTGGCTTTTCTCTTGCTTTCAAAGCATAGTCTTAAGATTAGTGGCCAGTCTTATTAACGTGTACTTTATGAGTAACCCCATTGTATCAACAGTGCTATGACTTGTACTAGTCTATCAATATCTTAAAGCGTGTGTATGTGTTTCTGAAGCAGGTTTCCATGACTTCTGTTTGAGTCCCAAAGCAAAGCTTCCAAACAAATTTAAAAGTTGTCATTTAAAAACTATGCACACGCATACACCAGATTTAGGAGTGTCACCCAGCGGTAGAGCATTTTCCTGGAATGCTCAAGGCCCTGGGTTCAATCCATTGAACACATATAATGTATAGACACACTGAGCGGTATGGTGTAAAGTAGTTAATCATGGCATTGACTTTATGCCCAGCCAGTGTTCATCGGCAGAATAATTTCCTTCATGTTTTTTATTTGTTTGTTTGTTTTGGTGTTTTTGAAGACAGGGTTTCCCTGTGGCTTTGGAGGCTGTCCTGGAACTCACTCTTGTAGACCAGGCTGGTCTCACAGAGATCTGCTTGCCTCTACCTCCCGAGTGCTGAGATTAAAGGCGTGCGCCACCACCGCCCGGTTTCCTCCATATTTTAAGGTAAGGCTAGGATTTGAGCAAAACAGAGGCTTAAGTTTGGGATTAGGTTTATCTGTCTTGTTTGTATTGCCTCACTTTTCTTTGACAGTTAATCCCATATTATGTTTTGAATGCTTCCTCCTGTTCCTTGATCTTGGCTTACCTAAGCAAGTTATTACCAGATATAAGTTGACTAAACTCATCTTGGCCATTCTGTATTCCCACAAAAGCTTCATAGCATTTTGTTTTCTGGGAATCATAAACTCAGTGCAGACCTTGAGGATCAGAGGGCAGTTGTGAGGAAAAGGTATGACTCATGATTACTGTGTTAGCATGTGAACAGATGTCTGTAAAATCCTAGCAAATCAAGGCAAGAATTTCTAGAATTATCCTCAGTCATGCTTAAATTTTTAGACATGGTCTTGCTGTGTAGCCACCTAACCTGAAATCAACTGTTGGAGCCCTAGTTACCTTCAAACCCAGAATCCTCCTGCCTCAGCTTCTCACTGCCATGATTACAGGTATATGTTACCATACACAGCTTGTTTAAACTCTTTCAAAAAGTAAACAGCAAACTGATTGCATTTTGCTTAGCTTTATTATTTGACAGAAAGCTTAAAGGTTTGCACTTACCATTGCCTTAGGCATATAATTTAAATTGAAAAATTAAATGTTTGACAAAATAAAGGCAAAGATATTAAAGATAGTCACTCATATTTTAAGGAATTAGGTATGTGAAATTCTGAATAATTAGAGGTTTGAAACCTTTGTCTGGGCATAATAATACACACCTTTGGGGAGGCTGAAGCTGGAGGATCCTGAGTTCAGGGCCAGTCTGGGCAAGTAGTAAGACCCAATCTCCAAATGCAAACCTGACTTTGGCTTGTTTTGGCAATCATTGTGCACCTTGGTTTACTCTATGTGTAGGGTTCTCCTCTCCCACCACTCCCTAGTGCTTGGTTCTCCTGAGTAAATGCCACACTTTGATCACCGAGACTTACTGAGATCATCACAGACACTGCACATCCTTTGTTTTGGATGTGCAGACTTTTATGATGACTTAAATCAGTTTTTTTAATGCTGTTGGAATTTGTAAAATTATTTCAAATGTGGCATCATGGCTTTCAAAAATACATTTTGCAGTTGCTTTTGTATTCGGTAGACTAGCGTCAAGACTAGGAGTATTTGGTGTATAAAATGCACTTCACAGACCTGTTCTCCAGATAGCTTTTCAGATCTAAGCATTTAGAGCCCCTTGTCCTTTCCCTCCAGAGGAAAGCAGCATCAGGAACTGGCTGTTCTCTCCACTGCTGTCAGTGTAGACTACTTATGTGTGGTTTAGTGTGAAAATGGACTCTGATGGTATGCAAGTCAGCTCCTTTAGACAAAGTGAGAAATCATAAAGGAACGTTTGAATTTTAAAGAGTCCTTGGTCCTCTGATAATTTAGCCTCTTTTGTTACTACCCAACACTTTTTAAACTGTTAAGGGGAAAAGTTATGAAGAATTGAGTTTACTTTTCTCAGGTAACAGTTGAAAACAACTTTTAAAATTAAAAGCTCCCTGAAGGACATAAATCGGAGAAGATAAAACAGGAGGGTACCTTGCAGAATGTTGGAAAACTTACTTTGAAAATCTATCTAAAATGTAATTCATGCATGTCTTTACTTAATCCTGTTATCTGTTATTAGGAAATAGAGCTTAACAAATTGATATATGCATATATTTTTTTACATGTAGGACTATAGTTTCTATCTTCTAAACTCAAGAAAACTAAACTGAATAAACAGGGTAAAAATCTTCAACTCTTGCCTCAAATTCAATTTGCCCTTTGTCCTGACAAAGGTTAGTTAGACTTGTCTAGTAAGCTGGTATCTTTTAGGGCATGACACCCTCCCATTAACTAGTTGAAATACCATGGAAGAGATAGGAAATCCAAGCTTTGCCCCATGGTAAAGTTAAAGAACAAAAGCTCCTTATCCCAGAAAGTGCCCACTTCAGCATGAATTATAAAAACTTTCTCAGCTCACATAGTAACTTGTCACTGGTCACCTTTTCAATGTTCAATCCTGTACTGTCACATCTAGATTAGAGGATGCACAGTGCAGAGCCCCTTGGTAGGCAGTCTGAGCTCCTTTGGCTCCAGTAGTCATTTCACAGCTTTATGTAGAAAGTCGGGGAGCTGAATTGCCCATTATAAATCATAAATCACTGAAGACACCCTAACAGAAATGCCCTAGGAAGCAGTTATAACTCATGGAATGAGTTTTAAGAGATTGGTGTTTGTTTAATCTTTGAAGATGTCTGGTCTGTCAGAATGTTTGTTGCTGTTCTTTCCCATCCATTATTTGTATGACATAACCACTGTGAAAGAGTGTCTCTTCTCTTCCCAGTTTTGGTTTGTTTTTAGTAAAGCGTTGCTCTAGTACTTTTTGTTAAGACTTATTTTCCTCAGTAAAATGACAACTTATTGCAGATCCACATAGGACCAGATAATAGAAGACTGATGTGTGGCTGCTAAATGACAGAAGGGATAATTTCCCAGGAAGGTCATTTCTTAATGCCCCTTGATATGGGCTGCATAAGTAGGTTGAAACATAGATTTGGGAGAGCAAAGAGTTAAATGGATTGAGACTGAAACTCATTTTGAACAGTAGTAAGGAAAAGAAACAGGGTTTCTTCCCCCCCTTCAGTGTGAGATTAATTTGGTCTGACACAGGAGCTGTGTGTTAGCTGAAATAAGCTGTGAGAACTGACCGTGAGGACTGGGTGCCTCCACTCACCTCTCCTGTCTGTCCCAGCACTTTTTCTAACAGTTCCTTCTTCTGCTTTAAATGCAAGAGAAGAATAAGGACACAGAAGCACTGGGATATGTTCTTTGAAAAAAAAGACACCTAAAATGCACCTACCATCACAGGGCTGAACTCATTTCTATGAAATAAACTTAGTGTTTTAAATGCTAACTATGCTAAGAATGCCTCTAAAAATTGTCTTAAATTTCAAGTTTCACTTTTGGAAACTATTCCTGAAAAGACATTGAATACAGGTGGGAAAGTTAAAATGTTTCAGTATTATTCAGTGTTTAATCTCAAGTTCGTTGTTGTAACACAAGTGTAGTGTTATCGTTGGATTAAAATGTTGGATGTTTTTGTTAATATACTTAAAACTGTAACCAGTGAATAACATCGTAGCATTTTTTATTATAGATTATATTTTATTTCAATAAACTTTGATATTTAGACCGAACATTCGTGTCAGCTCATCACACTAAGCTGTGTCACATTTACCTGAGACTGACTCAGATCAGTGTTTGACACCAGAGACAGTTACTAATCAACTAAACTACAAAGCTCGAGTCTGGTGAGGAAGAGTCACCATCTCACACAGCTCTCTTATCAGAGTTGGTTCAGGGAAAGCTGAAAAGGGATCGTTTCCTCCTTCCACTGGGAGATGGGCTGCCAGACTACTACCACAAGCACCTCTCTACCCACTGAGCCACCTCATTTTGTTTTCTAAGTGATTCAGAGCTATTTATGCTATAGCTCAAAGTTAGTATTCAAACATGAACAGTCAAGTATAATGTAGCTTTTAAAAACTATTGTGGATACTCGTGGTCATTCACACTTGTAATCCAAGCACTCAGGTGGCTGAAGCAGGAGGGAGGAACACTGTGAGCTGAAGGCCAGTCTAGGCTACGAAGTGAGACATTGCCTCAAGTTTCAAACAAAATGCTCCAACCAAGACCAGCTTCTCTTACTGAGTTGACTAAGTTCAAACCTCAATCACACCCCTAATTAGGGTCTCAAATATGATGCTACAGCTTCCATACTGAAAGGCATTAGGGACAGAACAGAAACCAGATGACTAGAGATAGTCATGCCCACAATGAAATTATTCAATTAGTCCAGCAGGGAGTCCTGAAAAACCTCACCACACTTGCCATCAATAACTGCCCCACCCCCAGCTCTGTAGCTGGGTACAGTAACCTGGTGGGTGGTGGCACAGGCTTTCCCTCATCAGGACAGACTTTCATATACTCAAGCATCATACTGAATCTCACCATCACAGTCATCTTTAACTTTGGAGGTACAAGTTTGGGATTCCAGCACTCTGTACACTGAGACACAAGAAATCAGGAATTCCAAACCAGCTTGGGCTACACAAGAGCTCGTTTCAAAACAAAGCAAAAATGAAGACAGTGAACCAGGCATGGTGGTACATTTCTGTAATCCCAGTACTCAGAGGTGGAGGGTGATGAATTTAACACCAGTTTGGGATATAGCAAGACTCAAGAAAAGGGAAAAAAGTAAGAAGGCCATCAACTGGGACACAATATCCTATTTGTGCTGGGGAGCACGGATCTGGTAAATAATACATGAAGAGGGCTTAGAACTCAAAGATAAAGACAAAAACATAATTAAAATGGAGTAAAGATGTAGCCACAGTAGTGGTGGTGACGGTGCACTGGTCTAGGGCAGAAAGATCTCTTGTCAGTTTGAGGTCAGCCTAGTCTACAGAGTGAGTTCCAGGACAGCGAGGCTACACAGAGAAAACCTCTCTTGAAAAACAAACAAAAAATATAAACAAATAATTCAAGGCTACACCAATTATCAAAAGCATGTAAAACACAGGGGAGAGCCTAGGCCCTGCTCCAAATGATGTGACAGACTTTGAAGATTCCCCCATGGAAGGCTTCACCCTCCCTGGGAAGCAGAAAGGGGATGGGATAGGGAGTCTTTGGGGAGCAGGGGAGGAGGGGAGGAAGAGGGGACTGGGATTAACATGTAAAACAAGATTGTTTCTAATTTAAATTTAAAAGATAACAACAACAACAAAAATATGCTTAACATTATTAGAACAGAAATCCAAGAGCCAATGAGATGGCTCAGTGCTACCAAGGATAACAACCTGGATTCAATCTCCAGAACTTTCATAGTGAACCCACCTTCCAAGTTGTCCAGTGATCGTCAGATGTACACTGTGACACATATGCACACATTTTTATTACATAAAAATGTTTAAGTTTATAAGAGTTAAAAAAATTAACTCCACAGCTAGAGATAACACCATACACCCATGGAACAGCCAACACTCAGGGTTGAGTCTGGGCAGTTCAGACCTTTTACACTGAGATGCAAAGATGGCACAAACTTCAGGATTCTCCAGCAGTTTCCACAATGTTAAATATACACTGCTGTGCCTAGCACCTGCCAATTCCAAGCCTACTTACTCAAGAGAAATTAAAACACGGTCACACAGACTTATACATCAACATTCAAAATCTTTATTCATCAAACTGAAATCAAGCTACATTCCCACCAGTAAGTGAAGGCACTGGAAACTGGGGAACATACCATGGAAACCTACACAGCAACAGAAAACTGCTGACACGCAGCAACACGGCCAGAATGCAAACTCTGCATTGAATTAAAGGATGTTTTGTATGATTCTAGGTATATGAAATTTAAAAAGAAAGGCACCAGTAGCTGTCTAGGCTGGAGAAGTGGTTTGAGATGATCAGGGAAGAAGAGCATGAAGGGCTGGAGAGATGGCTCAGCTGTGAAGAGCGTGCACTGCTCTTGCAGAGGACCACAGTTCGATTTCCAGCAGCCACTCCAGGTGCCTCACAACCGCCTGCAACTCCATTCAGGGGGACCTGCACTCATGTGCACATAACCACAGACATGAATGTGCATCATTAAAATGAACTAATCTTAAAAAAAGGAAAGGACATTTTCAGTGATGAAGTAGCCATTTAAATTTGTTGATAAATTGTATCTGGTTATCTGCAGATTCTACTTTAAAATAATTTCAAATGCTTCCATACATTAGCAACAAACTATTAAAACCTGCGATTTTAAAAATTCCAGTTGAAGAGTTAGGAAGCCAGCATTAGGACCTGAGATGGCTCAACAGTCAAGAGCACTTGTAGAGGACCTGGGCTTGATTCTCAGCACCCACATGCTCCTCACAACTGTCTGTAGCTCCAGTTTCAGTAGATCTAACACCCTCTTCTGGCCTCTAAGGGCATTGAATGTGGTGCACAGAATACATTCAGACAAAATATTTGTACATATAAAGGGTAAATGAAAATTTTCAGTTTTCAATAAAACTTCAGTTTTTAATAAAATTTCAGTTTTTAAAAAAGAATAACTGAATTTCAACAATAATCTTGACAACAGAAGCTTCTTTTCAAGTTATTTACTTTAAAAGCAAGTAATGGATAAAGGAAATAAACACTGTCAAGTTACTCTGTCAAACAGGAGTGTAAGAGACTGACTGCTATCGAATACAGTGCCTAACCACCACTGTATTTCTGCTTCTTGGGGATGAAATGGTCTTAAGTTTTGAGCACATGTATTTCTAGGTTTGAATCTTAGTTCTATCACTTTCTGTGATCCTGAGATCATTTCCTGAGTTTCCTTCCACACTGATACCCACACCACCCAAGTCTTGTGGGAATTAAATTACCTAATTCAAACTGCCTAGATCTCTGGGAGATGGCTCAGTGGTTAAATCACTTGCCATTCAAGTGCAAGGACCAGAGTTCAGATGCCCAGAGCCCACATAAATCCCAAGTGGGCATGGCTGCCCACCTGTAGTTTCAGACAGCAAACATATGTTGCCTCTGAGCAGGCTGTCAAGTAAGACTAGCCATATTAATGAACTCTGGGTTTGACAGAGACCTTGACTCAGTAAATAAGGTAACAATTCCTCACCTCACCTCAGGTCTCCATATGCGCACACACATAGGAAAATATGCATACACACAACACATATACACATGAAGATGGAAAAAGGAAAAACCAGCCTAGTGCATGGCAGGCATTTCATAAATACTTAATCCTATGTGAAAATATTTAACATGCTGCATTTGGCAGGGTTTTCTAGGGGAACAGAACATATATATATATGTATGTATATTGTATAACATACATACATATATACGTGAAAGATCGTTTGGGTTTTTGTTTTTTCGAGGGTTTCTCTAATAGCCCTGGCTGTCCTGAAACTTTCTTTGTAGACCAGGCTGGCCTCAAACTCACAGGGATCCACCTGCCTCTGCCTCCCAAGGACTGGAATTAAAAGCATACACCACCACCACATGGCATGAAAGAACATTTAATAGAATGTCTTACATTAATGGGATGGGCCAATAGCCATCTATACAATGGAGAAGCTGAGAACCTCGAAGCTGTTCAGTCCACACGTCCTGGAGGATTCCTGAGTTTTGGTGGTCTTTAATTCACACTGGAAGGCTGGAGAAGCTGGAGTCTGATGTTAGGGAAGGATGGTCACTGTATCAGCAAGAAACCAAAGCAAGCAGGCAAGAAACACAGCCATGCCCTCAGTAACAGGCTACCTGTCAGGTGTCACACCTGTAGAGGGTCTTCTTCCTCAGTCAGTTCTTTCTGGAAATGCCTTCATACAGTGCCCAGAAGTGAGAATCTTAGGGCATTCTGATTCAGGCTGGCAATCAGGAATGATCATCATACACGACTGACACATAGCCAGCCTAAAATCCTGGTTATTTTATACGCAGGCACTGCATGTACATGGTGTACACACACTCAAATAGGCTGTCTTAGGGTTTCTATTGCTGTGAAGAGACACCATGACCACAAGACAGGTTTTCTATGTGTAGCTTTGGAGCCTGTCCTAAAACTTGCTCTGTAGACCAGACTGGTCTCGAACTCACAGAGATCTGCCTGCCTCTTCCTTCTGAGTGTTGGGATTAAAGGCATGCGCCACCACCACCTGACATATAATCATTTTTTAAGCTAAGAAACAAAAAACATTTATTTGATCTGACCAACTCTAAGATATTTATCTACAATAATTCCTAATTCTGACTGGGAATGTGAATTCTTGGAGAAGCTTTGAGGGAGAAAACACAATGATGTTCCCATGAACCAGTTCAGCTCTCTACTCCACCAGAGCCTTGCAATCAGGTGTGCCAGGCAGTGGTGGTACACTCTGTGAGTTCAAGGCCAGCCTGATCTACAGAGTTAGTTCCAGGACAGCAAAGGCTGCACAGAGAAACCATGTCTTGAAAAACCAAAACCAAACAAACCAAAAAAGAATAACCAGGTGTGGCAGCACTTGCCTGTAATCATAGCATGAGGGAGGCCAAGACAAGAGTGCCTTACATTTGAGGCCAGCCTGGGACTACCCTGCCTCAAAACACTAAGGAACTACTCATGATCTGGATAAGAAAAACACAGAATGGCTAAATCTGAAGGTGAAAGGGGGTCATCAAGATGGATCAGTGGGTCTGGTACTGGCCACCAAGCCTGATGAGTTCAGTCCCTAGGACCCATGCAATGGAAAGAGAGAATCAACTCCTTCAAACTGCCCCCCCACCACCACCACTGTAGGGCTGGGCATGGACACACACAGTTGCAGGCCGGGAAGGGGCAGATTATGAGAATCAGCTGTAGTTAAAAGTGAGCTCCCTTAAGCTGGGCTTGATGGCCTACATGTTTAATCATAACACTCAGAAGGCAGGGGCGAGCAGATTTCAAGCAACCTGGTCTACAGATTAAGTCCCAGGGGCTACACAGAGGAGCCCTTCTTGATAAAGATTTCTTTATGGTTTAATAAGTAAAAAATTTCAAGCACAAATATTAAAGAACAAAAGGGGAACCTGAGTGGAATCACAAGTCAATGCTAACACTCGCTTCCTTACTCAGAAAAGGGACATCTCTTCCTTGGTCATATCAATCCCCAACCCTTGGACCAAAACACTCCTCAATTGACTATCAGATCCATGACAGAATACTAATAACAGTCCCCTCCCCCCAAAAAAGAGGGGGTCCCCAAAGACCCAGACTCCAGAGTCCTCTGGCTGCCTGCAACCACTCAAAAGTCTGAGACATCTCATGCCCCTCTATCCAGGGCCAGACACTTGACAAGAACTCCAAAGACTCCACACCAAGAGTACTCTCTATCTGTCACTAGGTATAAATAGACCACTGTTGTGACCAAGACTCTTGGTGGTCTGGGTCATGGTGGCTAGTTTCTATGAAAGGTTTTGGGACTCTGCTGTGAAATACCATGTTCTGTCAAGAGCTCCTACCAAAGATGCTTAACAAAGGTTAGGGGATTTCTAACACATCCACAGTGCACCATCAACTCTTGATCAGAGGCAAAGTTTGCTGCATGTCCTAGAACAGAGAGCAAATGCTGCCATTTCAGTTCTTACCAAGGCTGCTGCTTGGCACTCACTAGCAGGAAGGCTGAAGGACTAACCCCTGAGGCTGGAACAAAGGCAGACACACTTCTACTTCTAAGTGTGGCTTTTATTCTCACAAAGAGAATCTTGGCAGACTAGCATTTACAAAACCTGACTGATTCACCTGCCTAGAATCTGGACTCTTCCATTTCTCAGAATTATTTGGGGAGATGGAAATGTTATCACAATTCTGAGAGGTGGAATTCATTCACCAAACTGTGAAGACCCCCAACAAGTGCAACTCACCTGCTCAACTCAGTATGAGACCCTTGTAAGACAGGGCACATGGACAAGGTTTCCTTCATCTATGGAGTCTAATACCACACAAACCTGGACAAGTGTGCTGCTCCCTATATAAAAATCTACCTTCAGTTTACAGTTAAAAAGGTCCTCAACACTTTAGCAACTATACAGAATATGAAGGTTTATTTCAAAAAAGATTACATTTTTTAACCAGGATACACAGATGCACTTAATGTAACAGTACCTTCTGCAAAAATAGGTTACATAATACTCCGAAATGCAAGGAACAATCTTATCTAAAAATTAGACAGCAGGAGTCTGAAGCTCAAATAGCCTTCAAAATGGAGGCAGCAAACACTGGTGACACCACAGAGCTATGCTGCAAATGAAACCACTACCACTCAGCTGCAAACCATTCCTGTTCACACAGAGTCAAGCAAAACTGCCTCGGTGCCAATCCTTTCAAATGGGTCTCGGTGCTGCAAGAAAAAAGTTGAATGACACACAAAACTATGAAAAGTTTTAACAGAACTATTTAAACATCTTCTCTAAAATTGAGAAAAGCAATCATGTTAAATTTTTTAAAAAAGAAAACCAACAGTCAGATAGAGCTCTCAAGCAGTCAGAGGTCCTCCTCGTGAGTAGTCAAGTAAAGTTTACAGGAGATCTCAATAAATTATCTTGAAGCCGTGGCAGGAATCCTGTGTTCAAAACCGCCGTGGAGGTCCACTCTTAAACGGCTTAAACCCGGAGCTGCTTCCTCTTGGCATGGAGTTGCCACTCATCTGTACAATCCTATTAACTGGGGATGCAGTGCTGAAAGGGGTTCAAAAGAGAAAAGCGGTCAGAACAATCACAAGAAATACCTTCACAGCACTTACCACTCATAGGCTGTTCTCTGCTTTCCTGACCTACATCTAGACCCTAAGGTGAGAACCATTATTAACCCCTCTGTACCAAGGGAAAAATGAGACCTGAGGGGAGGAGCAACAATGTGACCCTGACACTCTTATTTCAATGCCTGCTTCTTCTGAAGCCAGATGCTGGGCACATGGCAGGACTATAGCCAGTCTTCTCCAAATTCCCACCCTGGATCACAGGTGCAGCAGGAGCACCAACAGAGGCTTGTGCAAAGTGCAAACCCACAGCCTCTTCAGGTCTCCTGCCGCCTCTTCATCTCTTTTTAAACAGGATGTAATCATGGAGATGAGGAAAACCTCAAACTCAAGATCCTCCTTCAGCCTCCCATTGCTAGTCCTACAGTATATACACTCTAGCCCACTCAGATCACACTGGGTGGGACTCTCCAGTTCATTAGCTGATTTTAATTAGCAGCTAAGGAGATTGTGATAACACTAGAGCTTCAAAAACTGACTCTCGGAAGTCACTCAACAATATTTCCAGTATCCTTATGTACAGAGCAGCATTACAGATGTCAGTAAATGATAGGAGACACTCCAGAACTCTATCGTAACGGAGAGGTAAAAGTTGACAGTGAAACACTTCAAATAAAAGTGGCTGAGGCCAGGCAGTAGTAGCACACATTTTCAATCCCAGCACTTGGGAGGCAGAGGCAGGAGGATCTCTGAGTTCCAGGCCAGCCTGGTCTACAAAGTGAAGTTCAGTATAGCCAGGTCTGTTACACAGAGAAACCCTGTCTCAAGAAAACAAAGAACTCCGAGTTAAATCTGTGACTACAGAAGCCACTGTGGTTTTGAAGCAAGTACATGACACAACAAACATGTGGTTCCAGGTCATTCAAGGTAGTTTGAGTATCAGGGAAAAGTTCTCTGGGAAGACCAGGCGCAGGCTGAATGCAGGAAAAGGCAGCATCAGAAATGTGCTTAGCAGCAGGGTGCCATTTTGAATTTATTCTAGAAACAAAGAAAGATCAAGACTGTGCAATGCTTTCCCCAGTTAGGGTTTTGAAGATGGCAGCACTGAGAGATAAAAGAAGCTTGAGGAAAAAAAAGAAAACAGAAAACCATTACATGGAGAGGGCAGCGAAGAGTGATGTCTGAAGCTCATCTGCTTGGAGGAGTCAGAAAGGAGAGTCAATAAGGAAAGAAGAGAACAAAGGGCTTTTAGTCCCAGCACATGGGAGGCAGATGCAGGTGGATATCTGTGAGTTCAAGGCCAGCCTGGTCTTCAGATGGAGTTCCAGGACAGCCAGGGCTACATAGTTTTAAAAACCCTGTCTTGCAAAACAAGCAGAGGGCTGAGCTGCCATGGCGGGGCATGCCATTCCCTGTACTCGGAAGGCTGAGTGTGAAGGCAGCCCAGCACACACAGTCGAAGACCACCTCAAGCCAAGCAATCAAAAGCTGCTTCAAAATGAGAAAACAGCAACAAGATGAAACAGCACATGGTAAGGAGCCCAGAACCAAAGAATTCACGGCACAAGTCACTGGCGCTCTCGCAGCAACACAGAAGCAGGCAGCATTGCAATGCAGGTGACACGGGAGGACCTGCCGCAGGAGAGCAGAGCAGCAGCTCCTCCAAGACCAGGGCACGAGGCAGACAGCAGGAAAGCTGGTAAGGCCACAACAGTGGGGTTTTACCAACTGCAACGTACTCTCAAACTCTAACCATCTTTAAGGAAAGGACCACTCAGTTATATAACAGCAGGAAAGGTCTTAACAGATTAGCTACTCACCTTGAATGTTGGGTTATCATGCCTGCTCCTGACCGGCCATCACCCATTCGCCTCGCATCATGGTAGCCGGGGCCCTGAGAGGGTGGGCCATGCCACTCTTTCCTTGGTCCACTTGTATCCCGTCCATGACGTTCCACTACATGTCGTTCTTCAGGGTAGTGCTGGGGACGGCACACGGAAAGGTCAGTCCTGGCCCTCTGTTCCATTCACTGACTTATGCTGCTGTGCTTTCATGTCAGAGCAAACTAGTAAAATGTCTAAGAATGTAACGGATGAAAGGTGTGACCACCTATTCTGACAGGAGCCCTCAATGTCCACATTTTTATGTTCACATCCACTACTACTCCAGCACTACTAGGAAACAAGAATTTCAAATGCCTGCGTAGATCTGAAGAGCTCTTGTATATACACAAGAGGTCAAGAGTTAAAGGGCAGTTAAGATTGGCTAGCTGATCAACTCATCAGAACAACTTGCAATCTATACAGAAAAAGCTATCTGATCTTACACAACACTACATAGTGCTGTGACTTGGGCACGGTGCTCCATTATGGTAATACAGTGTGGGGACATAGGAACAGAATGATTTGTAGAACTAAGGACAAAAGGGGGAGTCAAGGCCTGCTGACACCTAGCTTAGGCAAAGCTGTTGGCATCCACACAGGGTTAGAGACTGACTAACATTGTAAATTTCTGACAGGTAATCCAGGCTCTCCTCCTCAGAAGACCATTTTTTTTTTCAAGGGATCCTGAATATAGATTTTTGGTCTAGAATAATTTCTTAAATTCTATCCTAAATAAAACAGAGTGTCTACATCATATACTCAGTTTGAAGGTTGTTCAGGGTAACCAGCTTAAAGAACTTGTGCAACGCCGGGCGGTGGTGGTGCACACCTTTAATCCCAGCACTCGGGAGGCAGAGGCAGGCGGATCTCTATGAGGTCGAGGCTGGGCTGGACCCACAGCCTCCAAAACAATACAGAGAGACCCTGTCTTGTAAAAAAAAGAAAAAGAAAAAAGAACTTGTGCAAACATTTCTCCTTATTAAGACACATTAATACTTCATAATTACTGAGCCATAAACCTACTTCATATATGTGCTGGGTGAAATGATGTACAGTGATACTGCATAGGTACAGGGAGTAAAACATTTTCTGGCTGAAGAGGTTTAGGACAAAGTATTTTCTGTCCAAGTGTGACTGGAGTTCAGACCCCCAGACCTCACACAAAAGCTGGGTTTGTTGGTGCACACCTTTAATCACCACCTGGGAGTCGGAGGTAGGTCAATCTCTTGAGTTTGGGCTACAGAGAAACTCTGTCTCAAAAACAAAAACAAAGAAAGAAAGAGAAGGACTAGGTAAGGGCAGCAGCTGCCTCCGAGGAGGCGAGGAATCACAAACACAAGGCCCCAGGAGCGGGACAGTGACCATGACTAGTCATACCTGGTGAGCTCACCGTCAGTCAGCAAGAGACCCTGACACAGTAAGTGGGAGGCAATCAAGGACACCAAACATGCTTGCATACCCATGCCAACACAGGTGCCAAAAGATGCTATAATGAAACCTGGTGTGTATTCAAGTGTGTAATACAAATACAGCTCCAAATTCCATCTGGCACAGAACTTATAAAAGTGTATTCCTTCAGGCTAGGGATGTAGCTCAGTTGGTAAACAGCTTGGCTCGCAAGCATGAAACCTTGGGTTGGATTTCCAATACCACAGAAACCACCTATATTCCTATAATTCCAGCACTCCAAACGTAGGGACGGGAGGATCAGAAATTCAAGGCCATACTTGGATTCATCCTCAGCTGCACAGCACGGACCTGGAATATATAAGATCCTTTCTTTCCTTTTTTTAAGATGATTTATTTATTTTTATTTTATTTTCCCTGTATGTATGTCTGTGTGAGGTGTTGGATCCTGGAGTTACAGACAGTTGTCAGCTGCCATGTGGGTGCTGGGAATTGAACCTTGGTCCTCTGGAAGAATAGTGCTCTTAATCACTGAGCCATTTCTCCAGCACCAACACCCTTTCTTTAGAAGAAAAAAAATTCCTTTCTATTCATGCAGCAATCACCTGACATGACAGTATTTTATCAGTTAAGAGAGTGTGTTAAGGTGAGTGCAATTTTTCCATATTTTTGTCATTTATAGATACTTTCCCTCTACTAAGCTCACTAACTTAAAAGAATATTCAAGTCAACAAAAGATTAAAAGTTGGGACTCAAGAGATGGCTCAGCGGTTAAAAACACTGGCTGCTTTTCCAGAGAACCTTCCCAGCATCAATTGCCAGCACCCACGTAAGCGCTCACAACTGCCTGTTAACTCCAGCAGCAGTGGATCTGATGCTCTCTTTTGGCCTCTGTGGATACTGCATGCACAGTCCACATGCAAACAAAGCACTCACATACAAAAATTTTATTTTTTAATTTCGTTTTTTCCAGACAGGGTTTCTCTATGTAAGCCTGGCTGTCCTGAACCTGGTTTTGTATAGTAAGCTGATTTCAAACTCAGAGATCCACCTGCCTCTGCCTCAGGAGTGCTCAGATTAAGGGTGTGCACCACCACACCTGACTTACATAAAATACAGAAATATTTTAAAATAAGAAAAATATTAAAGAATAGAAAGTAATTTAAAATGATTCCACTTGTCTACTTTTGGAAAACAGAGCAAAGGCACATGACTTAATGTCATAGATTCAGCAGTGTATACACTAAAATCAGAACAACAGAGATTAGCATATTCCCTGCACCAGGATGCCGATCAAGTCATGATGTGTTCTGTGTTTCTAAAAAGCCAAATTATAAATTAGGAAGATTCATTTAACAACTATAAAAACTATCCAAGTAAGATGGCTCAGCAGGTAAAAGCACTTGCTATGCAAGCCTGGCCTGAGCTAGACCCCTGGAACCCAAGTAAAAAGCCAGATGTGGTAGTCCACATCTGTAATCCCAGCACTCCCAGAGTGGGAGTGCAGACACAAGAAAATTGCCTGCAAGCTATAGACCAGTCAGTTTGAAACAGATTCTGCCTCTCAACAAGGTGGGAGGAGAGACCTAATTCCCAAAATGTAGTTCTCTGACTTTCACATGTACCACAGCAAACAGAGGAGCCCTCTCTCCCTCACCACATTCCTCTCTCCCATATATACACATAAAAAATATATTATCAGGCATGATGGCACATATCTTTAATCCCAGCACTCAGAAGCCAGAGGCACTCAGATCTCTGTGAGTTTGAGACCAGCCTAGTCTACAGAGTGATTTCCAGGAAAGCCAGGGCCACACAGAGAAACCCCGTATTGAAAAGCAAAACAACAAAAAAAAAAAAACAAAAAAAAAAAAAAAAAAACAAGAGAGAGAGAGAGAGAGAGAGAGAGAGAGAGAGAGAGAGAGAGAGAGAGAGAAGAGAGAGAGAGAAGTTTTTTTTAAGGCTAGTACCTATTTCTTCGGACAACTGATATTCATCTATAAAGAACAAACTTGAGAAAGATCAGTTGCAGGCAGCTGGTCTCTCAGTCACTCCAATTACCCAATCAGGGCCACAAGAGAATGGTTCTCCATATGGATACCTGTCAAGAGCATCTCCTATTGGTTGGAGAAACGGCTCAGCAGTTAAGAGGCACCAGCTGCTCTTCTAAAGGACCCCGTTCAATTCCTAGCACCCACATGGTGGCTCCTAATTGTCTGTAACTCTAGTCCCAAGGAATTTGAAGCCCTCTTCAAGACTCCATAGGCACCACACATAAAAATGGTACACAGATATACACAGAAGCAGGCAAAACACCCATATACATAAAAAATAATATTTAAAAAAAAAAAGAGTAAGCATCCAGTGTCTCAGAGTCTTCTAAAGACTCAACTGAAAACTCCCAGCAACTTTTACCTGTGTTGCACTTCCTCTGTCAGAAATGACTCCTCTATCTCCCTCTCGGCTTCCGTAGCCTGAGGCACTACTTCGATTCCCAGGGGGTGCTCCCCTCACACTGTGTCCCGAGACTTCTCTCCCAGATCGCTCTGGCCTTTCAACTCTGTTAACACAGCACAAGAATGATCAAAACCTCACTTCAGTTCTTAAGAACTCAATGCAGGGAATGCCGTGGAGAAGCAGCAGAACTACCTCGACTCCCGTTTGTCTGTGGACATGTTCCCTTCACTTTTCCACGAGGTTGGTCTGGAAGGATTGGGCCCAGCTTCTCGAGGGTGTCTAGGATGAGCGACCTCAGATCTGTCATGAAGGATTACTGTTCTTCTCTCGTCTCTCTCCCCTCGTACCTCTCGTCTGTCTGTTTCTCTAAGTTCATTTCTTGGTGGTGGAGGCTCATTTCTTCTGGAATCACTGAAGTTTTTGGGGTATCTTTCAAAGCTTGGCTCGTCTCTTCGGGTTGCTGGTCTCGGTTTTTTCCCTTCACTTTGACCAACAAACCGTTCTCGTCTACTGATGAAAAACAAATGCGATCCTCAAGCATTTACTCTCAACTTTATTTGCATAACTTATAATCATGAAACTTTCTTTCAGGGGAACTTAGGGCAAAGCCTCCAGAAAAGCTTCATTACTACTTTCTTTTAAACTGACCTATGTCTAGCACAAAGGTCAGTTTCTTTTCCAAGACAAATGCTATCAGTCGAGTTACTACCAAGCTTGCTTGTTTCACTGCTCCTGACAGCTACAGCACATCCCAAATTAGCATTCCTCACTCACATTTGGTTTTATATAACTTTTTACTGGTTTTTCTGAGGCAGAATCTCAAACTGCTGTGTAGTCCTGGCTGGTCTTCTTGACTCTTCAGCCCATACCTCCCAAGGACCCCATCCAATTGAAGAGAAGACCATTTCCCCAACAGTGAAAACCAAACTAAACATGCAATTTGTTATGAACACTCAGTTTGACTCAGCACTGCAGAATCCTATAGAAAGGAAAAACAAGCATGTCTGTGTCCATATACCTTTCAAAGGATGAGGACTGCACAGAAGCAGGGTCAGGAAACCTGGCCCGCTCTCGGTGGCTGAAGTCAAGGAATCTGCTCTGTTGGCGATAGTCAGATCCATGGCCAAATCGTGCATCTGAATCTAGAGACAGCTTTTTATTCTCACTCCAGTAAGGATCATCTCGCCTTAAAGAGAAATTTTTGCTCATTTATACAAATTATTTTATAATAATCAAACAGCATTCACTTGGAATGATAGATTGCACATTGGAACTATGGACATTAAAGGCTGCTAACTCAAGATGGAACACTGAGGAGCTGGGACAGGATTAACTGTCATAAAGAGGAGAGGAGAAAAATAGTTGAAAAACAGTTGCCTGTTCTTTGTGTGTGCACATGTTTAAGTGTCTGTCTGGGTACACACAGCTGTGTGGGTGGTAGAAAGAGGTCAATGGGGTGACTTCCTCTGTCACTCTCCACCTTATTTTCTGAGACAAGATTTCTCGCTGAACCTGAAGTTCACTGACTGAAGTACATTAGTTGACCAGAGAGCTCAGGGATCTGCCCGTGTCTACCTCTTCAGCACCAGGATTTCAGGGGTGCTGGGAAATAAATTCAGATACCATGCTTGCTTGGTGATTACTCTGCCCATCTAGTCATCTCTCCAGCCTGAACTGTCTATTCTTACATCTTTAAATGGAAAAGACAACACCTGACATTATGTCATAATAGATTCTCACCAACCGTTTCCAGTTACCTTCCTTTTCCCTTAGGTGCTGGGGATGGCCCAAGGAAGCAAGAACTCCATTACTGAGATACATCCTCAGCCCTCAGCCTCTGTGAACTTCATAAAGGCTGAAGAGGGAAGACTGAGCCTACACTGGGTCCTGACTACTGCAATGCAATCCTTTCCCTTCCATGTTAGCCATGACTTTTTATCCCAGAGCTGGGAGCATGTTTGTTCCAATTCTCTAACCGTAGCTCACTAAGAACAGGATAGCAAGTGAGATAGATCACTAGGGAAGAAAGGAAGCACTACCTATGATCTACATCACGCGGGCGTTTCAAAGAATTCCTTTTTTCTTGTTCATAACGAAGCTGCTGCTGTTGCCTTCTGAGCTCCTCTCTCTCTCGAGCAATCCGTTCAGCTTCCTTACGCCGTTCCTTCAGATACACAGGAATGAACCAAATACAAAGTAAAGACAGAAGGTAAGTGTGCATCTGGGTTAAGAAAGCATCCTAGAGAAGCACCAGGCAGAGCACACAACTGGGACAAATACATTAAAGTTTAGTCACCTAGACTACAGCTACTGTTGGGTGACAGACATTAACAGGGGTTGAGTGGTAGAAACTGGTGAGCATTTTGGGGAAGGTTGGATTCAGTTTAATAAATTGACTTAAACACGAGCACCTAAAAGGAATGAGAAAACGGGGTTCTGAATGTGATGAGAGAACTAAGAGCCATAAGCCCTGGGCGGCAACTACGCAGAGAGGCATTATTTCCTTCCAGCCTTGGGAATGACTCCCTTGATAGTAAGGAAGTACTTGTCTAAGTCTGGGATGGTGACAGAGCCTGGATAACAACTACTCTGGACTCAGTCCTATGCTCATATTATTAGGCTGCCATGACACTGCAGAGCTACAGGTTACTTGAAATCGATAGGGAAGTCACTGTTCAACATACGTTTAACTAGTGCCTAATTTGTTATCTGTCAGGGACATGTCAGTGCTCATTCTGATCTACAGGAGCTTTACAATAAGTAAAGCAAACGTTGAGGGCAAAAATCACAGGGTTTGCAAAGGTGAGTTGTTCAAGATGAAAAGATTTTCTGACTGCACCTGTTCAATACGAATGCGTTCCCTTTCCAAGCGTTCGCGTTCCATTCTCTCTCTCTCTAGTTTTTGCCTTTCAATTTCTAGGCGCTCTCTCTCTCTCTGTAAGCGTTCCCGTTCTTCCCGTTCACGAATTATTCTAATGCGTTCACGCTCTCGACGCTCTCTTTCTGCAATCTCTCTTCGTCTAACAAAAATCAGTATTTAGAAATACTTAAATTATGCTAGCACTGTGTGAAAAATAATAGCTTTGAATTTGAACTTTTCCTTGTGATTGGCAATTTTAAATTCCACATTAATCTTAGTAATTTTAATGTAATCGGAAAGAACGCAAAATAAAACTTTAAACATATTCCAATCTTATCACTTATTTATGAGTGTCAACTAAGCAGCTAAATTTTACACACTATTTGCCTTTTAGATGATTTGGTTAAATGAAAATCCCGCCATAGTAAAAACCCAATAATTGACATTTTAAAATGTATATAAATTTATAAAACTACAATTTTTCTTTTGACTTTTTCTGATAGGGTCTCACTATGTTGCCTTGGCTGGCCTCAAACTCACTATGTAAACCAGGCTGGCCTTGAACTTGTGGCAAACCTCTTGCCTCTGCCTCCAATGACTGAGATTTTAGGTGTGTGCCATCAAAACCAGCTCAAAACTACAACTTTTATCAATTATTTTTGATAGAAATTTTCTAATATCTACTATATATCCTTATACCCTTAAATAATGTATATACTTCATTCTGATGGCTTGGAATTAGAATCACAAACACAATATTATATCAAATGTTATATAACAGAATGGTGCCCATAAGGGCCACTATGGATGAACACTGGCTTCTAAGTGTTTCAGGTAACATGCTTTTGAGCCAGAGACAAATCAGCACAAACATATACTAGACTTAGCATAGTGCTTCTTCATTTCCTGACATAAGGTTAAGTAATACACTTTTATGTTTTTGCCCACTTGTATATTTGCCTGTAGCAATTCAGTATTCTTAATGGGCCAGTACTATTCCCATAAAAACTGATGTGATTTTCTAAATGAACACAGCAGTCAATGGGCTGTTACTACCATTTAGTGGGTAGAGACAGAGAAATTCTACAACACTTGATGATGCATGAACTGTCAGCATAGTTTTACAAACCAAAGAACGTGCTCTCTAGAGCAAAGACTATCTAACACTTTTGAATCTTTCCTATGCCACAGAGGACAGTTATGCCCTTGAGAAACAACAAAAACCTTTAAGAGGTAACCTAGAATTTAACTGTTTTTAATAAATGCTAGGCTTGTTTATTACTTTAGCACAGGTTTATGTATTAAATTTTTCAATATAACACAATTCAAAATTTACCTTTTTAAAGGGGGAGGGATTATACTTTGTTAACCAAGAGTTGTTAACATTTCAGAAATCACATCAAAATGCCCACACTTCTCCTGTTACTTGACTCATCAATATGACACACAAAATTGGTCTGTATCTGAAGCTTTCACATTCTCAAGTGAGTCTAACAGGATACAAACATCTGACTACATCAATGTACCATCTACATATCTAAACATTTATATATATATATATATATATATATATATATTATGTTACAAATCACTTTTACTTCATTTTAATATTACTGCTAAATCATCACATGGATTTTTCTGGAAATTACAGGCAGATAGACCATACACCTTTCTTTCCCCAGGAGTGTGAAGAAGGTATACCTCAACAGTTTATTTTAAAGGATCACTGGGCTAGGTGTAGTGGTGTGTGCCTGTGGTTATAATTCAGCAGGAGACTGAGGCAAAGGGATCCCTTGAGCTCAGGAGTACAATGGTAAGCCTGAGCAGCAAAGGGAGATTTTAAAAACCAAACAGGCATTGGTGGGACAGGTCTGAGAGTCTCTGCCCTTGTAGCTCCCACTTTCATTCATCTCAAACCTGTTACTGATGAGCAGAAGCTAGGAGCTAGTGCTTATGGAGGTGAGTTTTGCAAGAATCATTTCCTTCAGTCACATAGGCAATGGTTGTATTCCTAAGCTGCAGCTTTTAAGTTCCTAACATCTGAGAATGAGTAGATGAAACTTCACAGTGACCTCTGTGCTAGATAGGTCTAACAGATTAAAACACACTAAGAAATATTTCATGTGGCACCCAAAAACGGGTATGTAGATATGAACTCATGTTGATCTGTTGATATTGACACTAAAAATAGAAAGCATTTACTTTCGGGCTCTCTGGTCTGTTTTAATGAGGAGTAGGGACTGCATTAAAGCTCACAGAGCAACTCAGCCTTCACTTGGGAACTAATGCAAAGGACCTTGCAAGTTTCCCATACTGTGACAGTAGTTCAACACTGTAGCTTACTCTGATACTATCTGGAATTATCTTCTCCTTTAAGACATGATTTTTATGGCAGCGTCTTTGGAATAGAGGAAAGAGCAATGGACTTGGAGTGAGACTTGGATCTGAGTCCCAACTCTGCCACTCATTAGCCACATGGCATTGGAAGAGTCATTTAGCCTCTCCAGGCCTCTGTATTTTTGTATTAAATAGCGGGCTTAATTAGCTTTACAGAATTGAATTGGAGATAACAGATGAAGAAGAATTTTGCAAACTGTGAGTGCGATGCAAACTCAAGAAGTCATTAAGTCATACCTTCACTTCCTGAGAATACCAATCAGTCTTCTGGGGAACACAATCTCTAGCAGGCTGGCTTATAGCTACAGACAGACAATATAGATAGCTGTCAAAAATGCTCCTCCTACCTTCTAAGCTCCACTGCGCGTCTCAGTCTTTCAAAACGAACTAAATGTTCTCTCAATCTTTGTTCCTTCATCTTTTCAAAAGGCAAGATCTCTTTCCTTCTGTAGTCTTTGTCTCTTTTTTTATCTAGGCTAGCTCTCTCTTTTTCTTTGCTTCTTCCATGAACCTACAGAAGAAAAACCGTAAGAGGACTAGAAGTTAAAATAGTCTGAGATCATGTATTTTGGCTTTGACTGGTCATTTTAGAAGTTCAGATGAGGGGACTAGAAAGGTGGCTCAGAGGTTTCACTAAGTAAAGCACTCCTAGCACCACAGAGCCTGTGGCTCCAGTTCCAGGGGACCCAATACTTTCTTCCGGGGTGTGTGTGGGGGGGGTGTTTGTATGTGTTGGGGGCGGTGTTGTGGGGTGTGTGTGTGTGTTGGGGACGGTGTTGTGGGGTGTGTGTGTGTGTTGGGGACGGTGTTCTGGGGTGTGTGTGTGTGTGTGTGTGTGTGTGTGTGTATGCATGCATGTATGTGTTGGTATCCTGAACGCCAGAGGTACACAAAAAGCTCATGCAGGACCAAACACAAAAATAACTTGAACAACTTTATCTTTTGGAAGCAGACTTACTTTCTCGTATCTGCCCCTTCTTGATGGCCTACAATGATCTCCCTTGGTTTGGTTTAGTATTACCATATGTCCTGGACTCTTAGAACCTAAAACAAAGAAATACTTTAGATAAGCAAACAAAATATTGTTGAAAAGGAGCATAAATAAATAAATTTGAATTTTCACCTGATATAAATAACTTATTCTACTTAAATGCAAAGAAATCAAAATTACTTAATCTGTTAACAAATACTTTGAATGATGCCAAAAGATCCTAATTCAGTAGGATACTGAAAATCAGTGGCCACTGCTCAAATTTTTTGTTGCTTTGCTCTGTTTTGCTACATTCCAAACCCAAGTCAATTAAGATTAAGGATACAGTTAGGAAGCTTATTTCGAAAAATAATGACCTTGTGGTAGTAAAGTTGGTCTGTAAGTTTTTTTTCTACTACAGGCTCTAACAACATTTGAAAAACAGTCCCTTCTGAAATACAAAACAAACAGCAGACACAGCTGAGATCTGAGAGAACACGTGACATACTTATTCGTTTCTTGTCTTCACTTTTTTTCATCGATTCTGAAGTCTGGCCACTTGAGCCATTATCATTCTTCTCATCTTTCTCTATTTTCTTAGTATCTTTGTTTTCTTTTTTTTCCAGTTTCTCAGATGACCTTTTCTCTTCTTTTTTGATAGATGCTTGTGTCCTGACCATATCATCCAAGACAAGAAAATAAAATAACTACTTTTGCTATGTAACAAGAAGTCTGTTTATCAGAAACCAGTCCTAGCCTGGCAGCTGTCAATCAATCCTTACTTGGCACTCCTATCACTTGTATTCTTTTTATCGCCAGCACTTCTTGAACTACTCTTTTCATCACTTTCTTTCTTCATTTCTTTCTTAGAAGGATCGCCTTTGACCTGAAAAGTTTAAACAATAGTAAATGTTTTTAAAATTCATAAACTTTAAAGTTGCATTACCTAAATGGTGTTGGGCATAGCTGCACACATCTGTAATCCTAGCTCTTGTGAGGCAGGTACAGGATGATTCTAAGTTTGAGGATGAACGTGACAGGTTTGGAACTCACTATGTAGCCCATAGTAGTCTTGATATTTCTGCCTCTGCCTCCCAAGTTCTGGGATTATAGCCATGCACCACCACTTATGTCAGAGACATTTTTAGACTGAGACTATAGGTTGACTATTCTTACCCAAAATACTTGGACTGAGACTGTTTCACATTTTTCAGATACCTGCATCCTCTTTCCCTGTTGATTTAGATTAGAGATACTGTATCCACTTTCCCTGTTGAACATTACAACTAAAAACTTTGAAATGCACCAAAATCAAGATTTTTGACCATTGATGACACTCATAAAAGTTTCAGATTTTGGATTTTCAGATCAGCCCTCTTGTTCATCTCCCTTTTTATAAACAGTCACACTTACTTTCTCCACAGAAATCAGTTGTCCATGCAGCTCTGTGCGATGGAGATGTGCAATACATCTGGACACTTCAGTGCTTGAAGACATAGTTACAATGCCATAGCATTTTGCCCCAGGACTTCGAGCATTTGTAACTACCTTTGCACTTAAAACCTATAAAATTAGATTACACTTCAGAATTGTACAGCTGTACACATTCCTAAACAGACTAGACCCTGTACTGAGGCCATTCAAATTAAAGGGTAGTGAAGATGCACTATGAGTATAATTCTGTCCTCTTGTGTTTTGATGGCCAGCACCTACCTTGATATTAAGTATTTAAAATATTCAAGGGAATTATCTAATCCTCCATGTAAATATGTAGCTCAAACAATAAAATAAATAGTACAAAATTAACAAACACAAAGGAATTTGATTTGGACCAGTTTTTTCATTGTGGGCACATCCTGAGTCTCTTAGAGAAAACTATGGACATGTCTGTAAACAAGTTTACAGGCGTCTTAACTCTTTCCTTTGAGTCACTTTAAATTCAAAATGAGTAAAGAGAAAAGGAAAAGGCAGGATTAAAATGCCCTTAATCCCAGTACTCAGGAGGCAGAGGCAGGTAGATCTCTGTACATTTGAGGCCACCCTGGTCTGCAGAGCAAGTTCCAGAACAGCCAGGGCTACACAGAGAAACCCTGTCTCGGAAAAAACAAAGAAGAGAAGGAAGGAGAGGGAGGAGGAGTAGGAAGAGGAGGAGGAAGAAGAACAGGAAGAGGAAAGAAAGAGTTAAGAAGAAAAGCAGGATTAATCCAGGCCTGAAAAGAGAACAAAGACTTAATGGCAGGAGGCAGAAAGGAAACTTGGGCAGTGTTTTGCTAAAAGGCCTCATGTAAGCTTTAAGAAAAGCTGCTTTGCACTCTAGAAACTTAAGCCACAGTCTTATCATGTATATGGTATTCCCATGCAGTTTATAATCTGACAAGTGTCAATATTAAAGTACCATTTTACATCTCTAAAAGCACGTAACTGCAACAGAACACAACATATGCTACAGTTGACTGGTGAATTTGAGATTATCATCCTAATAACCAATACTGGTTATTAATTTAAAAAGCATTTAAACCTGCCATGTACAGACAAAGTAGGACAAGATCTCTACCTCAAAGAGCTAACAGCAGAGCAAATTAAAAAAGCATGATGTGTATTTGGAGAATGGAAATTTAAGTAGACACTTTTAAAGTAGAAAGAAGTGACTCTAGCTACAGCCTGAGTGTTCTAATTACTCTCTCTACTGCTAGGAGCCCATTAATGCAACTACCCTTTCAATAACTCACATTTCTTCACAACACACACACATAGCATTAATGTCACAAAAAACTTTCTTAATGGCTTCAGAGGCTTTTACTTCTTCAAGTAGAAAGTCGTTTAGCAAAGCAGATTCTTGCAGGTGTCAGAAAACACAGCAAGTTTTACATTTTTCTCGGTAGTAGATGAGATCCATTTGTTTCTTCTTGAGTTTATATGTTTTACTACCTAATTCCAACTACTTATATTTTCAGGACAACCAAATAGTCTCAGCATCTTCTAGATCCTTTGCATCATAACACAATAAAACTCAGTTCTTGGCTCAAGTGAGTATAGATTTGGAACTCAACTTATAAGTCAAGGCTCAGAGATACAAAAGTACTACACTATAGTGTTTGAGAGATGGCTCAGCTGTTGGGAGCACTTGCTGCTCTTGCTGAGGACCCAGATTCGATTCACAGCATCCACATGACAGCTTACAACTTTCCCAACTCCAGTTTCAAGGGCCTCTAATGACCTCCAGAGGCACCAGGCACACACCTAGTCCACACATCATGAAAGCAAACACTCATACACATGAAATAAATTTAAGTTTATAAAGTAAATATAAGTAATCTAAAAACTTAAAAAAGACATACAGAATACATTTACATAATTATTTTGAATACTAGACAAAATTAAAGGATAAAAAGAATGTACCTTTCCATATTTGCCAAAGAGGTTCTTCAAATCAGCAGCTTTGGTATTAGAAGACAGCCCGCTGACCCAGATATTCTTGGTTGAGCTTCCACTGCTACCACCAGCACTGCCTGTGCTCCCTAGGATGGATTTAACACCAGAAGCTTAAGTGCTCATAAGCTTCCATCATGAAATCCTTTCTAATTAAATTCTGATAGCTAACATTACAATATCTAAAAATCTTACAACCCTACCATTATAAAAATCAATCAGAGCAGTGAGAGAATAAATATGAATATTCGTACACTCCGTTATATGAGTTTTAAAACAAAGTATGGCCGGGCAGTGGTAGCATACACCTTTGATCCCAGCATCAAGAAGCACAGACAGGTGGATCTCGGGGAGATCACGGTCAGCCTAGTCTACAGAGTAAGTTCCAAGACAGGCTCCAAAATTACAGAGAAACCCTGTCCAAAACACCAAGATAAAAAAGTGGGTGGAAATTCCACTAAATCCTAGACATTTTCTAGCAAATGCTAACAATAGGTCCTCACACCATCACACTGAGCTGGGGTTCCTGAAGCAGTCCTGCGGCAGCCAGCAGACCTCTCCAGTATTGGGTATCTGCCACAGACCCGGAATGTCTAAGAAGTGGGAATGAAAGCAGGATGGATCCAGAGTTAGGAGCTAACATTCTAATAATTCGCTTTCATTTTCTTTTTTTTCCTTTTTGGAGGCAGGCTTTCTCTATGTAGTCCTGGCTGACCTGGAAATTACCACATACAGCCACCTTCATTTTCTATTAGAAGAAAGGTTACGAGAAATTGGGAACTATGTAGTTGGATAATTCAGACCTAAATAAGAAACAACCTTCTGAAACAAATCATTAGAGGAAGATTAGCGACCTTAAAATAACTTAAGACTAGGGAAATGATCACAGCTTGTTTCTGAACTGCCTCCACACAGCTATGGCTTTATGCACATAAGTATATAAAGCACACAAGCTAGTCAGTGTCCACAGTGCTTTCTTCCTTTAGTGCTGTGATGCAGAACACTTTCTAAAATGTCATGCCATCACATGTACAAGAAGCAGAAAAGTAAATGTTTCCAAAGTGCTTTAGTCACATGAGATAAATGCCACCCTTTGGAAAGCTGTTCAGTACAGGCTTTTAGGGAGAAACAAGACAAATGACTCAAACTGTAATACAAAAGTTAATGCTTTTCCTACTCTTGAGGGCAGACATGCAACTTAGAAATTTGTTATCTACATGTAACTAGCAATAGTTGGGCCTAGGTACTTATCTAATTATAGGAAAAAGTTTTTAATAAAAGAGAATAAAGCACTACTTAACAAAAATTACTAAGTCTTTCAATTTAAAGGATAAACCTCTTCTTATCCATTAACCCAAACTGTAAAAGACAGGGTTACTGCAATTATAGTTACTGAATCAAGTCAACAATTACTTCAAATTATTAAACATACAAATGGAACATAAACCAAACCAATGTGCCAAGTGGTGGTGGCTCAGACCTGTAATCCCAGCACCCAGGCAGAGGCAGGTGGATCTGTGAGTTTGAAGCCATACTGGTCTACAGAATGAGTTCCAGGATAGCTAGGGCTGTTACACAGAGAAACCATCTCAAAAAATCAAAAATGAACCCCACAGTAAAGCATGAGATCCTGCTGACACTCAGGAGGGATCTGAGGATTCAGCAGCACACAAGTGCAGTGCAGCTCCTTTAGGAGGCTTTCTCAGAACACAAATGCTCTTCAAGCCATCACAGCAAAGGTGCCAGATGAAGTCATGCTGCTCATGACACAAGGTAACCAGCTAGCTCCGAATAGCAATAAACAATAAAATAATCCCCCTTGGGGAGTACGAAGGGATATGCTAACAGAACATAGAACCATGGACAATTACGCAATAAATATACAATGGAAAAAATTTAAACTGTTCCTCAGATCTTACAGGAATTGAATATAAAACATATAAGACAACCATCAACACAAAGTAAGTCAAATTAAGAAGTAAACTCTGAAACATTTAAATACAGTGCACGTGCTACATTAATGTAAGTCTATCCCAATGTAAAGAATGAAGCACTACCAAATGTTAGATTGTCTTTCTTCTAAATAGGTTATACAGATATATTTATGATACAAGTTTCATCCTAGACAGGAGAGGGAAGTAGATGTGGCCATGTCTGATGTTTCAAACTCACTACAACCAGAACTACTTCTCTAATCTTTCATGCTCATATGAGTTCACAAAGTAACTAGAATAAAGTTTTAATGGCAGGGCTTGCTGTAATTCTTTAATGCCACCAGTTAAAGGCTATCAAAACTTGTATCTTCTCAACAAAGTTCTGAAGACTAACAGTAAAAGGGGACAGAGACAACACTTTCGGTGGGAAGTGTGTGATGTTATCACGGAACAAACAGAAAACAATATTCCTTACCTTTGTCATCTTTAGATGATGTCTTGCTGTCTTTAGATTCTTTTGAAGAGCTAAAGAGGCAAATCACCAGAAGAAAATTGAAAACAAAAAACAAAACAAAAACCGAACAGCTTGATATTGACAGCATTGCAAAAAAGGGTTCTACTCATACACATGGATAACTCCAAAGGCCTATATTAGGCTACTTGAACAAATGGCTCCCTTAGGATTCTTGCACTGATTTTGCCCAAGATGCCTGAAGATCTAGATTTTCTGACAATTCTATTCAGTGGATATATGGCCATCTTCTCCAGATTTCAGGACTGGGACTTGACTTCATTTTGTGTTCTTAGAACTGATAGTTGCTCATTAACCACCATCACAAGGGTTTTAAAAAAATGAAACACAAAAATTGTCAATTTGAGAAAAAAAACAACAACAAAAAAACAAAAAACAAAAAACCAAAAAAAAAAAAAAAAAACCAAAAACCAAATATATGCTGACAATTCGACAATGCACTCAGTAGGACACACTGCATATCATGAAGATCTTGAATTTTTTAAGTAACTTATGACGGTCAAAAATATTCTAGGCAGGATCATAAGACACTAATTATTGTACATGGTCTTGAAGCCACCCCCTTAATGTAGCGTGATCTTATTGAATGCTGGAATTTCAGTATCGTAAAGAACTGACATAGAAAAACAAACCTCTTTGCTTGACCAGAGGCCCCTGTAGACGAGGGCCCTTTCTTCAAAGTATCCTTTTCTTTGTCTCCAGATTCTGCTTTCTTAGAACTTTCTCTGGCTTCCTTCTCGACAGGATCACCCTTCACGGAGTCTTCCTTCTTACCATCTTTATGGTTCGGATTCATCTCATAATCCTTGGTTTCCTTCTCCGGGCTCTGTGCAATGGCGTCCTGCCCATCTTTTGGCTTACTTGCTTCAGAATCTGTAATTTTCACATTTTTACCTGTTTCTAGGAGGTCATCACCATCAAAATCCAGAGTGATGGCATCTTCAGCCTGGATTGTGACCGAGATGTTGTCATCCTCAGCTTCTTTCCCAGTCGCATTAGCTTCCATCTCTTCATGAGCTGTGTGATCAGCCTCAGCTAGGCTCCCTTCTGAAGGAAGAGGTTTAGATACTTCTTGTGTGCCATCACCAGAACCTGCTATATCTAAGAGGATTTAACAGGAATAAATATGGCAAAACAAGAAGTTTAAACAATTTCACATTCATAAGCTAGAATAGGACCTAGAAAATATAAAGCCAGTCATTAGCACTGATGGAGGGTTAGGGGGAACACAAGGGATTAACTAACATACACAATCCTTTACCTAAGATCACTTATTCTTCAGGGAAAAAAATGATCTCTACATACAAACATCAAAACAACAATAGTGAGAAAATGGATCCATCCTCAAGACGCGGCCGGTTCTTCATTTCTGCTTATGTTAGTGCTATTGGAATTGTTATCCTCCATGGTAAAGTGACAGATGTGTAGGTTTGTTATTCAATGTTCGGCTCATCTTGGGATTTAATCCTTGTGACCTTGGGAGCTCCTTGATGACTTCTTGGAAGGTCACAGTCTGAGGACATTACTCTTCAGATTATTTCCAAGCCCCATCTTTTTCGCTCTTCAATCCCTGGGTAGTCCAGAATCGAATGCAAAACTGCTACGAAGACTCCGAAGATGCTCCTCCATGACATCTAGGAAAGTGGCTACTTGCTATCTGCGTCCTGTCCAGGTGGCCTGCAATGACTGTTTGCAAGATATCTTGTATTCCCACAGAGTGAAAGGCCTCAGGTATGTGAGATTTTTCAGTCAGTTGCTTTATTCCATCCTTGCTTCTGGGCTTTTTATTCTGCCGAGCTGAGGAGCCTGCTCCATGTCCTTTCTAGTCCAAGTAGGATAATGCAACTTCTGTCCGAGAACTCAACCTCATAGTGACCACATGTATTGTTGTCCCTGTGATTGTACTGGATAAGATAGTTCTCCCAAGCTACTACACATGTCAGAAAATCATATTAAAGTTGCTTTAAAGTAGCAAACAAAAGCCAGTGTCCTGGTCATTCACCATTCATAGGATTGGTGCAGAATTCATTGAGTCATAAACTAAGACTCCAATAAGCACGTATGAGTTACTGCAGTGTCAGTCCTAAAGACCGAATCTACTTACCGTATACTGAATGTGATTTTTAAAATTAAACTAAATCTACGGTGAAAAATGGTATCATTCACCACAGTAACTGATATGTACTATTAAGTCAGAACATAGCTTGTGTTCAAAAGAAAATCAAAACCAATTGGAAAATTAAACTTAATTCACTAAATTGATAATTTGGAAATAAACTATTTTAAAATAAGATTTCAAATAAGGAATGTTTATGTTCATGTACTTAGCTTTTTAAATGCCCATAAGTTTAAAGTTCTACTTAGCATCAAACATACCTTTCTCATTTTCTTCTTCCTCACCATCCTGAAATTCAAAGAATAATCAAATGTAAAATAAACTCATGGAGAACTACAATTTAACAACATCACAAAAGCAGTCAAATTAAACAGGTGGGTAATTTAAAAATATCGATTAGAGATACACATCACACGCAAATATATTCCAATCAGAATTCAGATCCATTCAGAACTATAGCACAACCTTCTGCTATATATAATTCTAAAATAGGAGACAAATCTTTCATGAAGCACATCATTTCACTAACCAAAACTAGTTACTATAATCCAAATCATACTTGTACCACAAAGCTGTCAATAAAGAAGCTGATATGATTATGTTACTCAGTTCACATTTTTTTAAGGAACCTTATTTATACCAGTTTAGTGGGGAGGGTGATGAGAGTGTCATGACCCACCATGAGCACATCTGCAAGAGTCAATTTTAATTTTCTTCTTCCACCATGAGTTCTGGGGATCAAACTCAAGTGATTAGTCTTGGCAGCAAGCACCTTCGCCCATCTGAGCCATCTTACTGGCTTATCAGAAACACTTTTAACAAATCATTATTCAAAGGAACCAGAAAGTATAATCTGCAATGGACTGAATGCATAATAAAGACAACAAACAAAACCCTGCTTCCCTTTCTAAACACTTCAACACAGGACAGGGATGATTATCAAGAGTAAGTTCTAAATTACTCTATTTTACAGTATCTGTTAAGTGAGTTCAAAGCCATCACAAGTATACTAGCAAATGGCCCATCTAAAAATGGTGTTTGTGCTATAGGTAATCAAAGCAAAGAGCACAGCCTTTTAAAAGAAGTGATTTAATTAAAAATATTGTACTTCCCAAAATTAACTATGTGCTAACTTTAAAAGAGAAATAGCTCAATAAGATATTTTTCTTGGAGGAGAAATTTTGTCTTTTTAAGGAAAAATAGCTTATTGAAAGGGCAGGGGGCTTGACAGTAACTGTATTACTGCCTGCAGCCAGGAAAAAAAATCTTTCTTTATTAAGGAAACACTGCAAAGAATACTAAGGTAGTTTCTCCAAGATAAACTCTCCCATCATAAGCCCCAAAAAGTAAGTGCAAACAGTCTCAAAAGATGTTTCCAGGAACATCGTGGTCACACAATTCTTAAAATACAAGTTGTGCAGATACAGATGGAAAGTTCCCATGAGCGAAGCCTTAATTAAGGGCTTCTCAAACACCAATGTACAATTGAAGCCTGGAAGCGCTTGTTCAAACAGGCTGCTGGCACCAGTACCACAGCTTCTGATTTACAGGTATGAAACAGGGCTAAAGGATGCACAACTTAACATGTTTCCAGGTGACTTTGATGTTGAAGGTCCAGGGAGGACCTGACCAACTCCTCCTGCCTAGCAGTGAAAGATTTCAAGCAAAACTTTCAATTCAAGTCAAAACTAAAAATTTCCGTGGTTAACAACCATAACATTGTGTCTGTGTGTATGCACAAGATTGCATTGGTACACATGCACACAGAAGCCAGGTCAATGACAGGTGTCTTTCCTCTACAGCCCCCTAGGGCCCCCCCTTTTTTGGTGATACAGAGTCTCTCATTGAACATGGCACGAGCTCACCAGTTAGCTAGATTGGCTGGCCAGAGAGCTCCAAGGATCTGCCTACCCTATCTCATCATCCCAACCTTACCACTCCAGAGTTACAGGTTTGCATCACAATGGACTTTCACAAAGATGTTGGGGATCTGAACTCAGGACCTCATGCTTGTAATATAAATCAATAACAATACAAATCCTATCGGTCTGTGTACCAATATTGCATACTATAACTTCTTTTCAACTTTAAATTTTAATATTTTTTTTGAAGAGAAAGAGAGAGACAGACAGACAGGCAGGCAGGCAGGCAGAGTACTTCAGACAGGCAGGCAAGCAGGCAAGGCAGGCAAGCAGGCAGGCAGGCAGAGTACTTCAGCTGTCCTTGAAGTCCAGAAGAAGGTACTAGATCCCTCAGAGCTGGAGCTACAAGCAGTTAGGGTTCCCCAACATGAATGCCAGGAGGCAAACTCTGGTCCCTTGAAAGAACAGTGTGTACTCTTAACCACTGAGATGTCTAGTCCCCAAGAATTTAATAAACTTCCACACAGGGTTGGCAAGATGATCCAGTGGGTAAAGGCACTTGTTACCAAACCTGACAATCTGAGTTCAACATCTAGGACACAAGTGTGGAAGGAGAAAACTAAATACAAGCTGTCTTCCGACCTCCACAGATGTGCTGTGTGTGTGTGTGTGTGTGTGTGTGTGTGTGTGTGTGTGTGTGTGAATGCATGTGCAGACATGAATAAAGAGACCCTCAGGGACCAGAGTCATTAAATCTAGCACTCCAGTCCTCTGTAAGAGCAGCACTTGCTTTTTGTTATTGTTATTTGTTTGGTTTTGGTTTTTTCCAATTTTTTGAGACGGGATTTCTGTGTGGCTCTGGCTGTTCTGAAACTAGTCTGTAGACCAAGCTGGCCTAGAACTCACAGAGATCCACCTGCATCTCCCTCCCGAGTGCTAGGATTAAAGACCTGTACCCCCATGCCTGGCTTGCAGTACAGGCTCTTAACCACTAGGCCTTCTCTCCAGCTCTCTACACATTTTTCTTAATTCAACATGTCTACTGAAGGACCTCATAAGCCAACTGTCTCCACACAGTAGTTAATTTGTTACTGCACATATCCTCCAAAATCCACAACAGAGGGGTCTGACCTAATTCTTAGGAAACACTGCTGGTGACAGTAGAACTGACGATTAGTGAATGACTACTCATTCTAATAGTACTATTAGGGTTAAACCAGAGTCTACATATGCTTCAAACTCCATAATAAAGAGACAAATAAAGAAGCACAAAAAGCAATAGGAAAATGTCCATACCCATGATACCTATGTACAAATATGCAATGTGTTTGAAAATAATCTCCCCACTGAAAACAGTCTTTAAATTAGTCACTTTTGGGGATTACCTTCAATGAGAGCATTTCATGCATGAAAACGAATCACATTTTCTAGAAAGCAGGTTCAAGTAGTTATCTTATAGTGGGACCTACAACCCCTAGTCAAATGTTCGAAGACAAACCTCCTCTCTGACCCCGTACCCTAGAACAGCAAAAAGTCAAATCAAGCCTCACACACACTTTTCAGTCAACCACATTCTATTGCCATCCTTTAGGCTAGTCTGTGATATACTTGTGTCTCTGGTAAATATAAAAGTCCTATATTCAGCCTGACATCAGTGACTGCCTGACATCTAGCTGACAATGTGTGGAAAAAACAAACTGGCCCAGCTAAAAAAGGGAACAATTTGAGCTTTATGGATAACAGCAATGGGCTACCATATGTTACATATTTTAAGCCCATAATAAGCACTGAGTAAACCAGGAGAGGTGGTGGCACATCCCTTTAATCCCAGCACTTGGGAGGCAGAGGCAGATAGATCTCTCTGAGTTCGAGTCTAGCCTGGTCTACAGAGTGAGTTCCAGGACAGCCAGGACTGTTACACAGAGAAACCCTGTCGATAGATAGATAGATAGATAGATAGATAGATAGATAGATAGATAGATAGATAGATAGATAGATAGATAAAAAAGCACCGAATATCTGCTGAAATAAAGTCACTGAATAAATACACTATAAGATATTACTGTTTCGCCAGGTGGTGGTGGCACATGCCTTTAATTCCAGCACTCAGGAGGCAGAGATAGTCGGATCTCTGTGAGTTCGAGGCCAGGCTAGACCAACAGCCTCCAAAACAATACAGAGAAACCTGTCTCGTAAAACCAACCTTTCTAAAGGACTTAAGTTCAACAGAACTTAGAAAACTCTTACCAGTGTGGTCACTTACTGAAAAGAATATGGTATAATATAAACAAACAAATAAATAAATGGGCCATAGATGGCATAGCAGGTAAGGGTACTTGCTGTCAAACCTAGTGACCTGATTCACATAGTGGAAAGAGAAAAGTCACTCCCACAAGTTGTCCTCTGATCTACACACACACACACACACACACACACACACACACACACACACACACACACACACACACAGACACACACACAACCCCCATCTCAATAATAAATAAAATGTGATTAATTTTTGATGTTATATAATTTTTAAAGGATATGAGACTAAGCATGAGATGTAGGTGGTAATTAGTCGATCTTTGCCATTAAAACTATTTTATGATGCCATCCATCTAGACTTTATTCTGTTGACTCACATGTGATATAAAATGTATTACAGATTATCAGGCGGTAGTGGCACATGCCTTTGATCCCAAAACACTGGAGGCAGAGACAGGTGGATCTCTGTGAGTTCTGAGGCCATCCTGGTCTACACAGCAGTTCCAGGACAGCCAGGATGGTTACACAGAGAAACCCTGTCTCAAAAAACAAACGTATCAAAGATAAATAAAAGTAGTAAGTATAAAAAGAACTCTATGAACAGTGAGCAAGCACTAGATTGAAAAGCCATTAACTTTATAAAGAGAGCAGATGCTTTGAGAAGTTATACAAATCTTATTGTCCCCTCTGACCTCCCAAAAAAGATAAAGTCCCTCAGATTAGAGAAGTGTTGTGCATATAGGTAAACAGATAAAGGAACAGATATGGCATAATCTTAGGGCACTACATGGGCTCTTTCTGTTGTTCTCTTTTTATTCTTTTTGTTTGTTTTTGTTTTTCAAGATAGGGTTTCTCTGTATTGTTTTGGAGGCTGTCCTGGAACTCACTCTGTAGACTAGGCTGGCCTCTAACTCACAGAGATCCACCTGTCTCTGCCTCCAGAGTTCTGGAATTAAAGGCATGTGCCACCAACGCCTGGCCTGTTGTTCTCTTTTAAGATTTATTCATTTCTATTTTATAGGTACAAGTGTTTTGCCTACACATGTGTAAGTGTACTCCATGTGTGCCTGCAGAGATCACAAGAGGGCACTAGAACCCCTGGAACTGGAGTTACAGATGGTTCTGAGCTGCCATGCAGTTGCTGGGAACCAGAACCAGCTCTGTTGCAAAAGCAACCAGTGCTCTTAAGTCTCTCTAGTTCTCTTTTGTTTTTCAGACAGCATCTCACTATGTAGCTCTGGCTGATCTGGCACTTGCTATATAGACCAGGTTGGTCTCAAACTTACAAAGATCCTCTTGTGTCTGCATCCCAAGTGCTAGGATTTTAAAGCTGTGTACCACCAAACACAGCTACTAAAGAGCTTTTTGAGACTAGAAGAAATGTTTTAAGATTTAAGACCCTAACAAGAACATTCCAGAAAATGTTCAGAACAAGTAAATGACATTTTCAAATTAGTCAAACAACTAATTGCACATGTTCATGCTAGCATTCCACAAGGAGGGGTTTGTTTTAAAGTATGATGCTGGGGTCAAATCCAACACTTTGTACATAGTAGGCAAGCACTCTACCAACTGAACTACATCCCCAGCCATGATTTTTAATGTTCAAACTGATTAAGAAAATCTGCTCAAAGTCACAGTACTATAATTAAGTAGAACACAAAAAAATGTTCATCCTGAGACTTAAACTTCAAGTCAAAAGTTAAGGACTGGGTTTACATAGTTAACACTGGTGTTATTGCCCTCCCACAAACATCATTCTGGTTTGTATTTTTATAAATAGATTATGTCAAGGATTTTTTATGTACACAGGTGTTTTATCTAAATGTATGCCTGCACACCAAAAGAGGGCATCAGATTCTATTAGACTACAGTTTGACTGCAATTATAGAAGATTGTGAGCTGCCATGTGAATGCTGGGAATTGAACTCAAGGCCTCTTGAAGAGCAGCCAGTGCTATGTAACTGTTACGACATCTCTCCAAGCCACGGCAAGGATTTTTAAAAAGTTATTAGTAAGGGAATGGCAGGGAACTACACAGATACTTTTTTGAATATCTCATTTCATACCTTTGATGTAAAATGTATTTTAAGTATGTATAGGATTAGACTAAAATAACTAGAATCCCAAAAAGTCACATTAAGTTTTTTAAATTGATAATTCAAAATAGATGAAACAGATTAACTGAAATATGTATCAGTTGGTGCTCAATTCCTTGGGGGCAGAACTAATCTGCAATACAGTAACATGTTCATTCTTAGTGAGGATATGTTATAACTAACCGGGAAGTTTTTAAGTCATTTTCAGTAATGGCCTTGGTGGTGATGGTGGATCCCTTTAAGACTACTGTACCTAAGAATGTGAGCTAAAGGAAATGAGTGACTTAGAAGAATCCCTATAAACTATTTACAGAAAAGGCCTAGAAACAATGAACAACTCAGAAGCAGTGAACACCCATCACCCTGTCTGCTGTCCTGACACAGCATTTATCACTAACACAAAGCAATGACTACATGTAGGTCTAGCAGAAAGAACACCTTTATACTCGCCAAAAATAAAGACAGCTAAAACTGTTCACTAACAGAAAGTGAGAACATTTTCAACTTCAAGGGTAACAAGAGACTGGCATACATTAACTATATTAAACCCATGAGCCTGAAATAAAAAGACAGAAAGCAAAGAAATCAAAAGCTCATTAGTACTGTTGAGAGTGCTTGTAAACTAGCTCATTATTTTGGAAATTTGATGAATAAAAGGGGAAAAATCAAATACATATCTTGGTTTTCCTTTATAAATGATACTACTTGATAACCAAGTAGAATATAAAGGGTTAGCTTTTCTAGAAATATTCCAGCTAATACTGTGACCACTTTGAAATGCACCACCATGATTTAGGTTCCATAAAAAAGACACAACCAGTACAGGGTGGCAATTCTACCTATGAAGCACTTATCTTTTATGCTATCCTTGAATCTGATAGTAAGCCTAGCAGTCTACCACCAATTTACCGATTTCAAGTAACTACAGTAAGCAGGAATATATTCAAAGACACAATGAAATGTAACCAGCAAATCTAGATTATGGCAGAGCCTTTAATCTCAGCATTTGGGAGGCAGAGGCAGGTGGATCTCTGTGAGTTTAGGGCCAGGTCTATAGAGCAAGTTCCAGAACAGCAAGGGCTATACAGAGAAACCCTGTTTTGGAAAAAGAAAAAGAAAAAAAAAAATCTAGATTTTAAAGGCTCTAATGCAGGGCTTGGAAAACTTATTGTTATTGAAATACAGCCAGGTCCATTCATTTTTACATTATCTGTAACTGCTTTCACACTACTATGACACTGCTCAGCAGCTGTTTCACAGACCATATAACCCACAAAAGCTAAAATATTTACTATTGAACCCTTAAAAAAAAGACTTTGAAGCCCTTGCTCTACAAGTAATCAACTAAGTTTTTCAACAAGTAAAACAAGGAGAAACTAAGTCACAGAGCAAGACTACACATTAAAAGGGCCTTAACAGACATGTCACTCAATCACAGTGGATAGGTTTGGATTCAAACAAGACCTGTAAAGAAAAAAACCTATAGCTGAATGAATATTTGAATAATAACTTCATTATTCAATGACATAATTTTTATGTTAGGGATTTCTTTTAAAGCTACATATTAAACTTGGTCATGGAAAATGGATTTGACTTGAAACACCACAGAAAGTACAATGTAAATGGAGGCAGAGAAAGTAAGATTGATGGAGCTGAAAAAGCTCAAGCTGGGAAATTGTTACACCCTCTATACCCCTATTGCATATATTCATGAAACATGTTTAGAAGCATAAGATCACAGGGGAATCTACATAAATTCATATGTCTCCAGGTGTTTTGCACACATATTATTTACAAAAAGGAAAATAAAGAACATTACACAGTATAATCTGTATAACCTAGAAGCATCCCAGCAGTGGAACTCAAAAAACTAGTTGCCAAAAATACACAGAGCTCAATTCCAGTTTTCTGAAAATTAGTAATCTAGTACTCCCCCAAAGCTGGGAAGTGGAAGAGCATGCCTTCAATGCCAGCACTTGAAAGGCAGAGGCAGGAGATCTCTGTGAGTTCAAGGCCAGCCTGGTCTACAGCGCTCCAAAGTTACAGAGAGAAACCCTGTCTTGGAAGAAAGAAAGAAAGAGAGGGGGGAGAGAGGGAGGGAGGGAGGGATAGAGGGAGGGAGGGAGGGATAGAGGGAGGGAGGGAGGGATAGAGGGAGGGAGGGAGGGAGGGAGGGAGGAAAGAAAGAAAGAAAGAAAGAAAGAAAGAAAGAAAGAAAGAAAGAAAGAAAGAAAGCATCCCCCCCCCAACGAGAAGCTGGATCTCCCCTGTCTATCATGAAGAAATGAATGTGCACAGACAAAAGAGAGACAGGCCTGCTGCTTCTCCCTGTCCAAATGACCCCTTCCTAAGTATTAAAAGAAGTTAGAAACACTGCTTCCAGAAATGGCAGTTCTTGCCCACTGAGATAAACAGAGAGCCACAGCTCACCTCACTACATCTGTGAGTACCACCATGGCAAAAGCAAGATAGTCATAGAAAAAGCATACAGGCAGGGACAGCCAGCTACACACTTTTTTTTTCTTTAAGATTTATTTTATGTGCATGAGTGTTTTGCCTGCATTTATGTCTGTGTACCAGTAAAGGTCAGAAATCCCCTAGGACTAGAGTGATAGATGGCTGTGAGCACCATGTGCACGGTGGACTCCAAACCTGGCTCCTCTGCAAACAGCAAATGCTCTTAAGCAGGTAGCCACCTCTCTAGCCCCAGCTATGCAATCTACACATGCACCGCTGTAACTGCTCTTCTAGTGGACACTACTGAGTCACAGACTCCATCACCATTTTCCCTACATCTAACAATCCAGTAAATGGTGAGTAGTAAGGTATCTCTATTTGAAAGCATGTCATTTAAAGAATTAATATACAACAGGTTCTTGTAAGTAGATGAATAGACAGTTTTTAATACTGCAGAAATCAAGTTATAAATGCTGTTTATAACACTGGGATATGTTCAAATGTACACTATGCAGAACATGGATCAGAACAAGTGTCACCACATTCACATGCAGCCATTTTCCATTCTACAACAATGCAAAGAATATGAGATTTTCCCACTGTTATCAAAGTTCATCCTAGCAATGCTAAACTAATAAAAAAAATTGAATAAATCACTGAAACAGATATCACACTTTATTTTATACTAAATGGAAAAAGAATCAAGATTGTAGACTTCCCAAAAGTCTGTTTTTTGAGAAGTCACCATTATTTTCACACAAAAGTGGAACTTTCTAACTCCAAAAAAATAACAGGAACCTCAACTCCTTACCACTTTTGAGACCAGAACCTTCAGCTGCCAACAGTTTATTACATATCACATTCAAGGTTCAGGATTAAATTTAAAAAGCAGTTTTATGAATTAAAGAATTACAAAGTAAAACTAAGATTTTCTTCCAAGCCCTCCACCCACAGTGTTATACTCACAGGACTAAATGTAAACTTACTTGGGCTGTTAGAAAGGTGTCATCTTCACCTTCTTGAGCTTCAATTTCCTAAGTAAAAGGTATACAACAGCTTTGCTTTACAAAACATCTGGGTACAATGGGAATGCTTTGACGCTCAAACTTGGTTATCATTTGCTTCATGCTCTGATAACTATGGGCACCAAACCAGGAATTCAGGTTGTACTCTTTATAACAACATAAAAGTATCAGTCACGTTACTACATAATTAGAAAAGCCTCCAGCACCTCAGTTAGCAGGCAAGGCAGGATGTAAGTGCTTTAGGCACTCTGACAGTCCTCACTCCCTAGAATTCAATGGTTTTCCTAAGACCTAACAGGTTTCAAAGTAGGACAAAGGGTCTACTTTAAAGATCTGAAAATTGCTTTACAATTCAACTTTAATTTTCTTACCCTTAATAATAGATGAAGAAATGTAACCTTTTTATCCTACTGAAGCAGCAAATGGGGTGGGGTAGAAGGACCTACCACAAAGTAATACAGGCAAGGTATGAGTGAAAAAGTCACACTCATTCCTAGTGGCATAGAAAAACCCCCAAATTTAAATATTCAGGGTTGTAAAGAGGCTATTAGACACACAGAAAGTAGCCTAATTACAAAGTCATTATGGCATGTCATATAAAAGCAAAATATAGAATCAACCCCAAGTTATGGCATGGCAATAACTATGTAAGTATATATGTAAAATAAGCAAAAATTTTAAAAGTCTTAGATGATAAAATTCTGGATAATTTTATAAATAAACTTCTTTTTAAGTTTTAAGACCTCCAAATCAAACTAAAAACAAACAAACAAAAAAAATTTCTATTAGTAAATCTTAATTTGTGTCATGTTTTAACAAAACTGACTAAAGACCTGACTTTCGATGTCCTCTTTTTCTCTATCTTCTATGGCTTCTGCCTCTATTAATTCATGAGTTTTCTTGTTTTCTTCTGTAGAAAGCAACTCCTGGGACTGCACAATGTCATCTTCATTTTCACCAAATTCTTCCAAGTCCTTTAGCTCGTCATTTCCATCTTGTTCATGTGTCTCTTGATTCTCCAATTCACAGTCCTTTTAATGGTAAGAAAAGTTGGTACAACTAGCGGCAAAGTGGTGTGGGTTATCCACTAGACACTTTTGGAAATTTACAACTCTACATGTGGCAGATTTTATTGTATTTTATGATATTTTCAGAGTGAAAGTCCAAAGTCCAAGCATTTTTACCTGTCACATAAACTATCTTAAAAGCACGTAGTCAATACCAAAACCAATAAGCCATGACTGAATCTCAAATTTCACACTGAAATACAAGCTGAATTGCTAGAAAGATACTTTAAGCTCAATTATTTAAGAGTTTCCAAGTCACAGTCTAAGGGCTGTTCAGAAGGCACAGCTTCTAAGACATGAACTGATTCTCCATTCACCATGTGCCAGTCTGATTTAACATCAAAGACCCTGGAAGTTATATGCATATTTAAACAAAAGTTTACTTCTAGTTAATAACAGTGAACTCCCAATTGTTGTATCAGACTAAGTAAGCAGATTATTTATTTAAAAGTATTTGTTTTAAAATCTCTCACTGCCCATTTAAATAGGAAGGGGACACAGGTTGGGATTAGCTCTGTACAAGGTCTGTGTCCCCTTCAAAATACAGAGATATGGTTGTCAGGTGGGAGGAAGGGCTGACAGCCGCGGAAGCACCTTCCTTATTCTTGCAGCAAATCAAGATTTAAGAAATTGTTTCTAGGCTGGGCGGTGCTGGCACACGCCTTTAATCCCAGCACTCAGGAGGCAGAGGCAGGCGGAGTTTGAAGCCAGCCTGGTCTATAGAGTGAGTTCCAGGACAGGCTCCAAAGCTAAAGAAACCCTGTCTCAAAAAACAAAAACAGAAAAGTTGTTTCTAGACTGAAGAGGAAAAACCAGTCTACTCGCCATTTTTTGTAGCAGAACTCATAAAAGGAAAAATGTCTGGGGAAGAAGGAGGGCAGCGAAGCCCATGGTTGCTCTATAGTGCAATGAATGCAGAGTGGGCAATGGCATGACTACCACCATCACAGTGTGACTGGGGAGCAGTGGAAGCAGCTAACAGTGTAGGTCATTTATGATGGCAGAAGCACAGAAGCAAAAATACGGAGGAGTCACTGAAGGAACTACACCCATTCTGAAGCAAGTCTGCACTTCACTTACCCACAGAAACAACTGCTGTACTGCCCAAGTGTCATCTACCCACCACTATTCTAAAACTTTCCAAAATTACCAACTCTAGAAGCAAGAAAAGAAATTCACTTATTTTATCAAATACATCACATATACTTTCAAAGTGAAGAAAAATGTTAAGAACTAAAAGTATATTCACACAGAGTTTTCTAAAAAATCTCTTTGGCTCTTCTAGACATCACCAGATTATTTTTAGGCTGACCCAAAAGTACTCCTCTCAGCAGATGGCCAACTTGCTTCTCTACTCAATGAAGCATGTATCTCCTCTAACATTCCAAAAGACTGATAAAAATTAAAAATGGTAGGAAACTAAACATTCTTTTTACAAATTTCAATGTTTTCCAGTCTACAATTTTTGCTTAATCACACACTAGTAAAAGAAATACAGAAAATAATAACCAAGAAACAGACCCAGTAAAAGACACATCACACAAATAATAGATGTCAAAACTAAAGAGCTCTTAAGAGCTCAAACAAACAGCTGATTGTAGGAATGCAGTCACTACATTTAAGAGCTCATCAGGCAAATAGTACAACTATCTGCTTTCAAGGTTCTCAACGAAATGCTTCTATCTCTACGGTGTGCTGTGTGTGGGACGGAGGGTACAGAGCTGGGCTGCAGGAGCTACAGATGGGAAAATGGGCATAAGCTGACCTCATGTCAACATACAAACACCCACAGACAACTGTGACAATGTGAACTAACAAAGAACACAGACTAGATGAGAATAAAAATGCATGTAATTTAAAAAGAACTGTGATCATTAATACCTGAAAATGCTACAGTGCTTAAGACCCAATGAACAGTACACTACTTTTTGTTCAAAGAAACAAAATATCTAACTATACCTAAAAATAACTTGTTCTATACTGGTAATACATAGATAGAACTGTCACTACCCATATCAAAATTACTTATTTATCTTTAAAGGGTGTAATAAATTTCTTAATTTGATCTTTACTAAGTAGTAATGCATGACCAATTTTCCTTCTCTAGTTTTGGACCATACATGATCAAGTCCTACATATTATATAAAAGTTAATGCAACAAGCAGACTGAAAAAATACCAGTATCCTTCACAAGTGCAACTCTGTCCAATCACTATCCTGGTTGTTCTCCAGGTTCCCATGCCTCAGATTCCCACTTGAATGCCCAAACACACGGATCAGTTTTAGTTTTTTTAAGCCAAGGGTCTGTGCAGCCTAGGCTGGCCTCAGAGATCTGCCTGCCTCGGCTAGGATTAAAGGCATATGCCACCACACCCAGCTTAGATTTTCATCATGTCCCAGTTAGCTAGGGTTTGTTCTTGTATACCTCAATTATGAGAGCTCATAGGGCTGCCAATATTTAAACTTCTTTAACCTATGGATTTCAGTGTCTATTGTTCAAGTCAAAATCCATTAACTCATCACAAAAAGTAAACCTCTTAACCTAGAGATTAACACTTTACCTTGACAAAAGCATCATCTTCCACAGAAGCATCTCCACTCAACTCATCTGCTTCTTGTTTTTTACCTACGAAAGAAGGAAAATGGGCTAACAACCAGTATTTTATTGCTTTAAGAAGAAAAAAGAACATTCTACCTTACTCTACAGTATCACTCTCCACTCTTAAAATCTACAAAGCTAATGTGACCTACTTAAAAGTCACCTGGTCACAGCTATCCCAAACAAAAAAAGCTTTACCAAAGCCATGCCATATCACTGACACACATGCTGTCAGGACCCAGCACTTCAACTCGCCCAATGCCAATGGAACATTTTCTTCACACACATACATTCTGTCTTCAGTTCTGGTAGTGGTAGCACCTTTCAACAGTATTTTACAATCTATATATGTAACCAGATACCTATAGCTAAGTTCAAGACGCAGTACCTATAAAATCCTCAGTCTGAAATAAAAAGCTCACACTTTTCCAGTCATAATGGTACATACCTGTGATGTCACCAATTGAGGGTAGAAGAAGGATCAAGAGCTCACATTACTTTTCAAGTCTGAAGCTAACCTAGACTACACAACAGAAGTCTCTCCCATCACTTTTACAACATACCAGTTGATATAAATTGCCTAATTCTGTTTCCAGGACCTCTCACCTCCCCTTGAAGGGAAAAAAATCCTTTGGTGCAGTAACTGGCTGGCTGGCTCTTTCCTCCAAAGCCTCAGTATAATAGCCCTGACCACTATACTTAGCACTACACCACATGACACTTAGCAGATGCAAGGCAGAACTGGCTTCCAGATGCAGACTATCCCCAGCTTCTGAAAGACTACAAGACTTTTCTGCTCAGCTCTCATTTTCAAAACTATGTTATTTGGTAGAATTTAAAGAGTGCTACTGCAGTTTTACAAAAAAACACAGTCAATGCTAAGTTTCCTGTGTCTTCAAAAAGCTCAAAAAGACTACCTAAAAATCTGTAATGTACCATAAATACCGTCTTTAGAAAATCACAGCCACTGAAACTTTTGTATTTAAATTTTAACCTTTTTGCATTGCTTTTGAAATGTAAATAGTTATTAGGTAAACTAAACTGCACTTTCCTTTTGCCTGGAACAGGTATTGACAGTGCTGCTGTCTAAGCTTCAGAGTCAGTGACTCCAGAGTCTAGCAACTAGTGGAAATGTTAAAGTAAGTCTTTCCTATATCCTCTATCCAGTCACCCCCCCCATCTATCACATGTTCTCAATTCAAAACCCTCTCTGTGAATGGATGAGTGATGAAGGAAACAAAACACTGGTCCTACAAGTGTAAGAAGCAAGACTGGGAGAATATGCTTTCCATTTATTCAAGTAGCAGCTCATGCCTGGGAGGATATATATAGCTTTTAAGAAAATTACTTTCAAAGAGGAAGGAGTTAAGACAGGGTCTCACTCTGTAGAGTCCCGACCAGGCTGGAATTCTCTATGTAGCTCAGGCTGGCCTTGCACTGGCAGTGACTCTCCTACCTCAGTCTTCTAGTGCTGGGATTACAATGCATGAACTACCACTGTTGGTTTGAACTTCCTATTTAAGATACTGGTGCCTACTTAATTTTTTACAATTATCATTGTTTTTATCATACATTTATTTTTTAGCATTTCACACATCAATCAAAAAAGCCTATGGAAAGCCTGAAATCTACATGTAGAAATGACTTCAACGCCAACTGCTTCACAGACTTTGTTCATTAGAACCTATTAGTCTATTGAAGAAAACTAACAACAAAGGTGTTACTTTTCTGAAAACTAGATACAAAGGAGTTCATTATATCACTCTATTACATTATAGAAGGACATCTCATAGCAAAAATAATTAAGGGCTAAAGAGACAGCTCAGTAGTTACTAGCACTTGCAGCTCTTGCATAGAACTCAGGTTCTATCCTCAGCACCCATGTGCTCACAACTATCTGTAAATCCAATTCTGAGGCATCTGATGCCCTCTTCTGGTCTGCACGGGTACCAGATACCTGTACACTTACATACGTGCAGGCAAACACTCAGACACAAAATAAACTTTTTTTTTAATTTAAGGATACTACATTTTGGAGGAAAACATTTTAAACCCTTCCATCTACATATACAAACCCAAGTTGCCTAGAGGGTAAAGCTTAGGGTGAATTCCCTTAGTTGCTTCAAAAATGCTAACTTTCTCTTTGTAATTAAAATCTGTCTTACAATTTGCAAAGCACTTTTTAAAAATACAACTTATTTTTACAGGCTTGCTTGGATACACAGGACAGGTTTCCACAATTTTACAGGACAGGTTTCCACAATTTTACAAAGATAAAGAATTGAGAGGCTAAGCAGCATGTCCCAAACCAGCAAAGTCATTTGTTCACCTCTCAATTCCAGAGGAAGACTTTTCTGACCCACTAACAAGGCCTCATTCTAGGAAGTGGTTAATGCACACAAATTACAGACATTACACAGCATGGTTACAAGCCACACACCAGACACACTCCAAGGGGAAAGCCCACTTGCTTTAGTTTACTTAGAGGAAGCTCAAATTACACTTCTACAAAAACTACCAGCAGCCACTGCTGCTGCTCACTCAATTCTTGCTGTCCAGACTCTACTAGGGAAGTTTTCTATACAGTCACATACTTGTACATTTCATCCTCCAGCTACTCTGAAGCACTCATTCCACAAACTGAGGCTGAAGAGATCACAGAGACAGGATATTTAAATCAAGCCCAATTCTACTCCTAGAAGTCAGGTGCTCAACTACTTTCTCCAAAGCCAATCTTTAAAAATTTAACAGTGGTGGCACAAGCCTTTAATGTCAGCATTTAGAAGGCAGAGGCTCACAGAGGACCTCTGAGTTCAAGATCAGCCTGGTCTACAGAGTAAGTTTGAGGACAGCCAGAGTTACACAGAAAACCCTATGTCGAAACTGACCACCATCCCAAAAGTGTAAACTGGAATTCACAACAGTTAAGTAACTTGCCCCAGGACACAAGACAATAGAGAGGCAGAAGAGGGCACACAGAAATGTCTTCCTGTTGCTCTGCAGTTTCCAGATGTCATATTACACGAAAGCACCACATAGTTACTATCTCCTTATAAACTTTAAAACCACAAGGATAAGTTTGGGCAACAGAGTGATAAGATTGCAGTATACAGCATATGAGAAAACTGCAAACTCACACTAGCTTTTGATCACTTTCATAATCTGTAACTCTGGGCTTATTTAACTAATGCTGAATTTGAAACTTTATTGCAACTGCTTCCTCTGTGGAGAAAAAGTTATTACCTCTTCCCACAAATATACCTAGCCTGCATAAGCCATGATGTGTACCACACAGCAGAGAATCTAGTTTGGCACTAGAGCCAGCAGGTGCTCATTGCCCTGCACCTTCTAGCTGGTCATTATAAACTAAGTCCTAGGTTGGACACTAGGAGGCTCAAGGTCTAGACTTCTGTTAGGCCCAACTGGGACAAAGGTAAGAGGTGACTCAAAAAGAGTCACATGCAACTTCATCCTGTCAAAAGGCTAGAATAATTAACTGATGCTATAAATTATATCTGCAGGTCTCTAGCTTTTTGTGCAGTCACAGACGTGCAAGAACTTCAAGAAGGACCAGACTCCGATAACACTACCTTCAGCACACCTTATTCAGCTGGTAGCCATTTCTGTCTGTTCCTCTTAACCCTGTGCTACAGATAGTTCCACCTCCTTTGTCCTTCAGGGCATCTGGTATGTACCACAGAAAGGCAAACATGCCCAAAGGAGAGTAGCACGACCAGGATGAAGCCTAATTCAAAATAACGCAGATTGCACACTATTTTTTAGCAAAACTAGAAAATAAGTTGGCCGGTAAACAATGTCTGGGAAAAAAATGAAATAGGAGTTGAAAGCAAAATTAACATGTTTTGCTGGGCGGTGGTGGCGCACGCCTTTAATCCCAGCACTCGGGAGGCAGAGGCAGGTGGATCTCTGTGAGTTCGAGACCAAGCCTGGTCTACCGAGCGAGTTCCAGGACAGGCTCCAAAACAATACAGAGAAACCCTGTCTCAAAAAAAAAAAAAAAAAATTAACATGTTTTAAGCTATAGTAGAAGAGGTTAACTATTTTGAAATGTATAAAATTCACCAAAATGCTTTTTAAGCGAAAGTCATATACCAAAGTTGACAACCTAGAAACATATCTGTGAATGGCAGTGTGTAGGTCAACAACTTCTTAATGAAACCTTGAGGTCAGTCACATCTAAACACTACAAACTTCCAGGCTTTGCAAGAGTGGGCACTCTGTGCTCTACTTAAGTTCAACTCTCTCACAATCATTAGAAATAGTTTTACATAGCCGGATACGGTGGCACTAGCCTTTAATCTCAGCACTAAGAGACAGGCAGATACCTGAGTTCAAGGCCAGCAGTGAAACTGTCTCAAAAAACAAAAACAAAAAAGACGGAAATATTTATTTACTGAAATGAATGGTTACATCAAACAGAAATACCTCATTTTTACCACAAAAATTTTTAAGCTTTCAGAATTTATACATTTCAGAACTATATATGAAAGGTTTTAGGTTACAAATTGATTTTTCTTCTCCAAAGGTAAATTAGTTCTTATAAAGACTTAAAATCTTCCTTAAGTTCAGAAATAGTCACAAAACAAAATCCACTTACTAAGTAGATTTTAAAGTAATTTTTTCAAGTAACTTTACCCTTAAACCTAAGATGTCACCGTGCAATACAGAGAAGAGCAGAGCTGTAAGGCACAGTGGTAGCTCTTGCTTAGCAGACATGAAGCCCTCGGTCTAGACTCCATTCTCGGGAGGGAAGGAAGCTTAGTTACAAACTGTCTGTTGGAAAAGCATATTGTTTCCAACTGACCACTGACATTTCCAGACAAAGCCTCCTCCCAGATGCAAGCAGCAGCCTAGAATAATGTTTCATTGCACTTTATTGTGTCTGGTGTTTGTGGACACGTGCTGGTGCATGTGCAAAGGACAGCCTGCAGGACTCAGTTCCCACCTCAGGCACTGAACTCAAGCTGTACAGTGACAGCTACCTTTTATTACTGAGCCATCTTGCC